AAATATTTGAAGGACGTAACAATATTTTTGGACTATTTGAATCAATAGTGATATACTTGATTTAGTTTATACTAATTTTTTCCCGTGGCTTCGTCCGCGTTAATTTCGCAACAAGTAATATATGTATAGCTGACAAGGCGAACTCTATTCCTCCTTAAACACAGTAGATAAGAAGATTTTGGATCTCATCAACTAATTTATTTTTTATTTTTCAATCGAGTGAACACGACTTTCTTTTATACAGGGTGACTGGTGAATTACTATCAATATTTAAGGAGAATACTTGGTACATGATTCTCATTCGAATTATGTAAAAAAATAGGTACTTAATTTTTGATCAAATTTTCGTATAAATAAATAAAGTGTGGACACGTTCCAAGTGTTAAAAATGTGGACGCGTGCTGATACAACACCACGCCACGCGTGTGTGTGTGTGTGTATACCTAATCTGTAGGGTGTTCACACGATGCGTAATTAATTACATAACTTTTGGTTAACTTTACTTAGAAGTTTATTAATATTTATGGTATATTAATTTTTATTTTGTCATATGTGATCGTCAAATATCACGTCCTCAAGTATCGATAGTAACTCACCAGTCACCCTGTATATAAAGATGACTAGTAAAGAGTAATCTAAGGTGTAAATGACAGTCAGCCCGGCGTCGTCGGGGTGGTCCTAATTGCCGGGATCGCCCCCATTTTCCGAGGGAGTAAGTCCGGTCTTTGCCAGGACCGGCCAGTCGCTGGTGTGCCCTGTCTCTGACAGATCCGGGGTACACCGACATAGCGGCCGATGGCTTTCGCAGTGGTTTTAGTGAGTAGGGGCCTGCCCAGGCCGAGCCTCACACATCCCTTCCGGTCCCAACAAGGACGGTTGGACGGCTCGTAAGAAGAGTTTCCCTGTATCATCAAAAAAAAAGGTGTAAATAACAGTCGAATTACTTTTTAAAAAATTTACTACTGACACAGTATGCTTACTTCTTCTTCCTGGCAAATAGTTGTTGTTGTAAATAGTTTGGCTAATTATTTTTACGACCCGCCTGTCTGACATCAATCCCCTTTGCTTTAATCACCACGATTGCTCAAATCGGGTTGGTGATTTCAAACATATAATTTTGAAATTATAAGTCCAGGTTTCCTCACGGTGTTTTCCTTCACCATCCAGTGGTGTCTAAATACTCTTAGAAAGTACATATGACTCGGAAAAATCACATTGGTACTTTCCAGGATCGAACCCACGCCATACATGAGAGGCAGGCCTTTAACTACTAGGCCACCACTGACTTACAGTATGCTTACTATTTTTTTATTTACCATTCAAATCTTCGCATATCATGCATATACGAAGAATATTAAACGGGAAACCTTTCGTATGCAGTGTGACGATACAAACAAAACAAACTCACTTCGTAGAAAATGGTATTAACTATTATGTAGAAATTTTATGCGTCATCAGAATCAGATTTCTATCAAAATTAATGTTCCTATCAACTATGTTGGTATAATATTTGTAATATTAAATAATGACGTATATAAGATTTCATTTGATATTCTATACAAACAAAGAAACCTGCCAAATTCCTATGTGCCTTGTGTTTTGCCATAGATTTTTATACCTATCTGATTGATCTATGTATGTATGTACCTATAGTTTTCAAGGTTACATAATATCTCATATATTACTAGTTTTTGCTCGCGACTCTGTCCTCGTGAATATCAGATTTTTTTCCTGCCACTAGAGCCATTGAATCTGAACTGCACTTCATGGTTGCACCCGCGTGCTTTTGTGCCGGCATAAAAAGTAGCCTATGTCCTCTTCCAAAGTTTCGTCAAAAAAAAATCATCAAAATCGGTTTAGCAGTCTAGGTTTAAAAAGGTAACAAACGGACAGTTATTTCGCATTTATGATACATTATTAGTGATTTGTTTGTAGTACCAAATCTAGATGGTACAGTACGCAATAGGATTCATTACTTTACTTGACAAAACTTTCTTGTATTACTGTTTACGTGAATTTAGGTACATATTTCATAAAATTTTAATGTAAATCGTAAATTTTGTTGAATTTGTTTAACTATAATATCATATACATAATAATAAAATGATTTGCGCTGACAAAAGTCGTTTAAAACACGACTGCTTGCGTGAAAAACGCAAACAAACAGACTCGCTTTTAGCAGACGATGCTATCACAAGGTTAACTTTGATGTTTGGATAATACTTTAAAAATCCCGTACAATATAAAGGTTATGATCAATCAACAACATATTTATACATGTAAAATGCAAAGACTAATAACTTTTCACCAAGCAACGAGTACATATTATTTAGATTAACATATACCTGTGGCTTTATTAAAGAAAACTTGTTTCTTTTACTTAACATTTGTAATTTAATATTTTTTATTTGAAAATCATTATCGTAAGTAACTAATTAAAATAAAGGAAAGTGAGAAATTTTACTTTCAGGAAGTCTTCAATAATAACGATCTATCTTCTATTTAGGTTAATAAAATCACAAATATTTGTGTTGGATTTTCAGTTATTTAATTCCTCTGAACAAAATAGTGTAAATTACTGTTCATCATCCTTAGAATAACACTTATGGGTTAAAATCGTCTGAAAAAAAGGTTCAGAAAATATTATATCCAGGTTGCAGATACAAATATATAAATAAGATACAAATATCTTCATGACACATGAAACCTAAAGGTTCTTATATAATTCTAATTTATTTTCAAACATTATTTCCAACTTAATATGTACAATTCTACACCTTCTTGAGATTATAAGTTATCTCGAAAAAAATGTCACGAATCTTTTTATTTATCTGTCTTACGTATAATTACCCAACTCTTAGTCTCTCAGTTAGGTAAGTCAGGTAAATAAGTCAATCATACGAAAAGTAAAACCAAAGGTCAACGTCGTATAAACATATAATCTTTAAGCCAATAATAAAATCCGTTATACATTAAATTTACATAGCCTAGTAGTTAGTTGTAGCCTAGTAGTTAAAAGGCCCGCCTCTCTTGTATGAGGGCGCGGGTTCGATCCTGGCAAGTACCGATGTGATTTTTTCGAATCATATGTACTTTCTAAGAGTATTTAGAGTAAAAACAAATAGCCAAAACTATTCACAACATGTAAGGCAGACCCTGGCTAAAGCCGGGAAATTGCCAGGTAGGAGAAGATTTTATTTACATAACTCCGCTCTCATAGGCTTCTTAGCATACCTTGCCTATTATACCTTGCAAATATCCACTGATGACCAAGTATATCGCGTGATTATGTATTCAATACTTCCTTGCTGTAAATCTATTTTTGATATAGAAACAAATGAGAATACAAATTGCGTCGTCATAAGAAAATTAAAGGGGCCTTCGTTGAAAAATAAATTACATACTATTAGCGGTAGCTTTCTTTACATTAGCATGGCGTGTATGAGATGTTAATGATTAGCATATCGCTATTAATCGAGAGGATCAACGCCCTTAACCTTGAAGGAGGGGGGGTCAAGAGTCCCCCATAAAAAGGGGCCCAGGGGTGTCCACGGGACTGCGTGGTCACAGTAACCCCGGCAACCGCCACCCGTTTCCGTTTTACTTACAACCTTAATCCTAAAAAGAAAATTACAGTTTATTTATAGTGCTGTATTGTTTTCTATTCTGAAAACTTTTTGTTACACTAACTACTACTTATTAGACTTTTCAGCATTAATTTAATTTCTGTAATTGTTTTATAGAAAATTCCATAGAATAGTATCCAATGTATAATTTGTCTGTCGACGATATTAAACAATCATAATATCAATTTCAACTGAAAAGTTTATTGACAAAGTAACATTTGATTTTAAAGTTCACAATGCGATTGAAACTGATAATTTTATATTATTCATAGAAACGTCAACAGAGCTTCAAAGCTTCTAGAGAGGTCACGTATTAAATAAATTGAAATACGAAGTGATTATAGCACAAATTCACTCTATACTATTATAGTCCATAACATTTTTATCTACTGAATCTAATTCGTAGAACTTTACCTACGTTTACGTGCTACCTTCCACGCATAAAAAATTAACGCACATCCGGTGGCTTTCTTGAAAAACATTTATTTGTGCCTCGAAAACCTTGAAATATATTTTAATTAACTGTTAGTTTTTAAAATACATTAATATTTTTATTATGAAGTTAAAAATGGTGAATTATACATATACAGAATTTTTTTTCAGAACACAATTTTTTTTATACATGTCTATGAAATGAAAATTACTTATATAATAAAATAATATTAATTACATAACTAATTGAATATATAACATATGCATGGCTTTATACTGAAGTAATAGAAGGTGAATGGTATCTAAATGTTATCATATTATCAGTGAACAGATCCTACGAGTATCTTTATCACGGCTTACTCATTCAGAACTTAGTTTTAAAAGCAGCGTCACGTACGGCATAGAAGTAGCGATAAAAAAGTGTTTTGTTTTTAAAATATTAGAAGTGGAGTGTTTACCTAAACATAAACGTGTGCATCAATTACATTTATTATAATAAGACCCTCGTGAAATGACCGTTTATTAGTCTTCAATTGAAATCGATAATTTAAAATAAATACTCTCCAATGTGTGAAATTTGGAAAACGGTGTTCAATATTCAAGGACTAAGGTGAAACTGAAAAACATCGTTGATTTCCCCGAATATCACTAACAAAATCAAAGAAAAAATGTTTAAGCAACCCTTATGTTTACTGTTTTAAGTCCACGTGGGCGCTTGCGCTATGAGTACCGCATTTATAAATCGTTTATTAGTAAAGGTTGTATGTGAGTTCTGTGTAGCGGTTCATACGTCTTTTTGTAAGCCATGGTGACCGTCGTCCGGCAGTGCGACCACCCGCCCTCTACCACCGCACACCACTCGCCACTCGCACACCGCCACAACGTCCCACTCGTTCCATAACATACCTTAACTAGCACGATTACAAAAACCATGTAACGACAATGCCAGCGCTAGATATCCGTGAAACAAACGCGTTTACCGTTATTAATAATGAGGATAAGCACGCCCGGGGGCAACGGAACGTGAATATTGTGAAGCCGCTTCAACGCGATGACGATTCAGACGTAACGGAAACGAGTAAGGAGCAGGCGACCGACAGGATGGTGGCCGTCACCCCCCACACGATACTCGACCCGAAGTTCTCGCGGGCACTCGACTTTAAGCTTCGACGGTTAAAGGAAAAGGAAATTTTGGAAGCCAATCTCAGACGACCGACACGCCAGCGACGCCGCGCCGGGGCTTTAGCTGCGTCCAATCCTAATATTAACTGGAAGGATTCCACGCCTCCAAAGAAGATGTTGAGTCAATCTCAGCCGCGTATTGACATTATTTCTTGTAATGGAGAAACAACAAAATTTTCAAGAAACGACAAATCGCCGGTGTGTAAAAGCCGCAGTAGAATCTCTGGTTTAAGCGAAGGAGATAAACCAAGATTTGTAACGACTGTGAAAACTGGTCAGTTTTTGCTTCCTCCGCCTGACGTGGCTTGTCTGCTTGGTCTGCAGACGCTGTATCCTCCTCAAGAAAGAGAAAAAATAGTTTATTCATACGCAAGTAAACCGAAAGCAGTTGCTACAAGGACAAAACGGGCAACAGAAACGAAGACTGAGAAAATACCTAATGGTGTACCTCCAAATATTAATAACAATAAACCCAAACATGCCAGTGAAGCGTTCAAAGGCGTGCGTGCTCTCATAGCAGGAGTGGCTGGGGTAAAACATCTTCTTGAACAATCAGACAATGTGTTAGTATGTGTATCTTTTTAAATTCCTATAGTTTTCAACGTCTACCGGCTACATAACTTCACTATCTGTAGTATCGATTACGAGTGTACACAAATCACTGTCAATAGAAACTAGTGCATGCTGTTCTATTGACTACAACAAAAGACTAGACGTACAGCAAATAACCCTAAAGATTTTATATAAAAAAATAACTTAATATAAATTGTATATAACAGTTTCATAAATACGTTTTACAATTGATTAATTTGTATAAAATTCTTGAATAAAACAGGTCCGATGGTATAATTATTAATAGACAGGTCAAGCTAAGGGTAGCATGACGGCCTACTTCCAGGGCGAGGTCAGCCACCCATAATCGCCCATATCTTATCTGACCCAAAAGCAATTAATTAGCATTATACTAAATAATTTAAAATCCTTTACAAACTATTAAATACGTGCGTGATTAAAAAGTGTAGAAGTATAAGCTTATCACAAAGATAACTTTCAGGCATTGGTCATAATAAATCTGTAGCCTTTTTTTACTTTCAATACAACTCGTAGGAATATAGATTCTTATTACGTCAAAATACGATGTACGTGTTAATTTTAAAAGGTAAGAAATTAATATTTTAAATCAAATGCGAGCAACGATTATAAAAATAAATTGCTTATACATATTATTATTCGTTTCAAATTGTCATTGCATAACATGACACAAGATCATTTATTTTGATGATAAACCTGTTATTTCGATTAACTTTAAGGGGTGAATATTTTTAAGAAAAAAATTACTATAACGTCATTTGATTGAAAAAAATAATGAGATTTATTTTAAGGTAATTATAGAAATTTCTTTTTCTAAGGAAAAGGTTGCCATATAATTATTATATGAGATTGCAAAACAGAAGCTACTGATTTTCCAGTCTGTCTGAAGTTGTTATGAACTAGCTAATTAACAGTAAGATAAAGCTAACTTTTATCTAATTGGTTTTCCAATACGCATATATTTAAATCAATTTATTATTATTAATGTCATTTTATTTTTATAACACTACCCACTTATTTTTTGTTTGTTATAGTCGGATTTCTAATAACTTCGGAATAACAATCAAAGTTAAGACACTTTCAAAATATGTATTCTTTTATTGAAATGTTCGTTTATTAATCTTATTTTACTATTTTCAGTGGTAGCATGACAACGGGTGTGGCTGGCAGCCAAGGATACACTAACCTGATGCATGATAAAAGAGTTGTCCGTGGTAGCACCTTCTCCTCACACCCTCATGCCGCTGTAAGCTATTTCTATTTCTATCAATAATAATATTATAGAAGTGTAATGAATCACTATGTTTTCTACAATATCTCTCATCTAAACTCCCAACTAACAGACCTCTGTCTGTAAGCATTTAACCAATAAGTATGTATTTATAAGGAACTATTTATTCCACATTAACGTAAGTTTAGATTTGTAACATTTTACAAAGTTACCTGACACTATAATTTTTTTTTATTTAACTAGCTTTCCACCCGCGGCTTCATCCGCGTCGAGTTCAGTTATATCGCGTTTCCAAGAGAATTTTTCAAAAGTCTTGGATAAAAACTTTTCTATGTTCTTTCTCAAGGTCAAATCTATCTCTGTACCAAATTTCATTAAAATCAGTTTAGTGGTTTAGGCGTGAAAACGTAACAGACAGGCAGAGTTACTTTCGCATTTATGTATAATATTAGTAGGGATTGATGACGGGTCAAATACGATTAAAGAATTTCATTTTAGTTTTTCAAATTTTTTATCCTTCAACATTCCATATCAACATTAAAAGGAATTTTGAAATTGAATTATAACATACTCGTATTTCTCTGTCATTTTGTTTTGCTTTTGTTCGATACTTCAATTATATCTAAAAATCGATACGTTAAATATAACTTTATGGTCATGGATCAATGTAATGTAATCTTTTACAAAATTAAATTGCGCGTAATAAAAATAGTACACATTTGTAACTACATACTTTTATGCTTGTAAATCTGGACTTATAATTTCACAATTATAAGTTTGAAATCACCAACACGTCTTGAGCAAGCCTGGTGTTAATGCTCAAACCTTCTCCATGTGAGAAGAGGCCTTTGCTCAGCAGTGGACTGTGATAGGCTGATGGTGATTATCCTTATATTCAAAACTTTGAGTTTGAAACTGATGATAATGATACATGTACATCGATATATGAAAAAATAATATTATTAATATGTATAATAAAAATTATTTTACTAATGATCATATGAAAAAAGAAGCATGATAATGGTGACCTTCTACATCGATTCTAACGAAATTATGTATAATTCACATATTGAAAATTTAAAACATTAATAAAACCAAGTTTATTTCTCATTTCATTTTTCTATTCCAGTAAATATTTTAAAACTTCATTTCATTTTAAACCGGTAGTTATTAGCGTACCTAATACAGTGATTGCTCACTGTGTATTTTGTAAGTGTCGTCAACATTTGAAATGGTGATTTAACTGTCTAGAACCTGTATTTAACATCGCAATTTTATTCAAAAGAAATACTTTATAATATAACTGTTTCTCTGTTCGGAAATGTAGAAAGAATTTTTAAAGAAAATAGTCAACACTAAATATTTGAGCTGTAGTACTTTGAATGTACTATAATTTTGTTTGATAATATTTGTCATAATAATGTTTAAATAACATTGATTAGTATCGATTTTTTTATATTTTAGGTGAAGTCGTTAAGGTGAATAACCTTAAATATACATATTTAGGCGTAATAACATAGCTTTTGGGAAGAAAGTAATGAAAATAGAAACAGGAAAAGTTAATAAAAATAATTTCCACTATATTTATAAAAATATTAATATTATTTTTGAAGAAACTGAACTCAAATCTGTTTATTGGTTTTAAAAATTCACATGCTATACTATATATACCAAATACTAGTGCTATTTCTGCAGTAAAATATATATTTTATGCTATGATATGAATTTAAAATAGCTTTAATATTTGCAAATGTATGCAGGCTATCTGAAATGTGAGTATATGCGGGGCGTGAAGAATTAAAAACAGTAGAAGTTCCTATGCGGGTGACGATCGATACATTGCGTACTAGGATATATTATTTTTAGGTCATTTTAGTTAATCGGATATAATTACGGCGTTTTATATTATACTGTAAGTTGTGAGATATATTATGGCCTAAGAATAAATTTGAAGTACATCATATTTCAAATACTCTACTCATGTCATAATTGCAAAATTTTGAAAGCATGCAAGGAAATACAGATGTTTGTTACTCTTTCACGCAGAAAATACAAAACGTATTTTTCTGAAACTTCAGAGTCATATAGCCTAGGCATCAGAATAAGACATGGATTATAATTTATACTTTCATCCTCTTGAGTTCTAAAAGAAATACGTCATAAGAGTCATTTCTAGTATGACCTATGAAGTTACGAGACCGACTATAGATGTCGCTAAGGTCGCTTAATACAATATCCATTGTTTCAACACAGTTTATACATTTCTATCAAACCCTCCGAACTCCGACCGGACGAAGCCGTAGTCAAAAACTAGTTAACGTTTTTCCCTCACCCTTACACAGCACAAAAGAATCTAAGCCTCATTAAGGCCGTACGTTATAGATGGAAACGTTGAAATAATGTAACAAACGAATAAAAACGTAATAAGAACATATTCAGCGATTTTCTTTTTCATATCTTTTTTTTGTATTTATATTAAAAATGTCCATACAATAAGTCTTAATTTCAATTGTCCGCTTCATTGTTGCAGTGTTACATATACAGGGTGACTGGTGAATCACTATCAATATTTAAGGAGAATACTCGGTACATGATTCTCATTCAAATTATGTAAAAAAAATAGGTAGTTAATTTTTTACCAAATTTCTGTATAAATAAATAAAGTGTGGACACGTTCCAAGTATTCCAAGTGTGGACGCGTGCGGCGGCGTGCTGATACAACACCACGCCGTCGCGCGTGAGTGTGTGTGTGTGTGTGTGTGTGTGTGTATACCTAATCTGTAGGGTGTTCACACGATGCGTAATTAATTACATAACTTTTGGTTAACTTTACTTAGAAGTTTATTAATATTTATGTTATATTAATTTTTATTTTGTCATATATGACCGTCAAATATCACGTCCTCAAGTATCGATAGTAATTCACCAGTCACCCTGTATATTTGACGAGTAATATATAAAAATAATAATCTTAGCTTACAACAAATTTAACTCAGAAAAAAAACTGCAAAATCTAAAATAAGAAAACGACAATTTTTTTTCATTAATAGGTCTTTTTCATTTCTATTACGTAATCAACTCTGGTAATTGTAGCTCGTAATAAATACAACATGTCTTGAAAGTGTTCGCAGAAGTCCACTTAAAACCTAAACGTTAATGACAAATAGGGCTGTCTTGTAGGGCCATAACATAGAAGTAAATATTTACATAGTAACCAACTTGTGCTACTTGAAAGTGCCACTTAACGTAATTCATAATTTCATATTATACGGAAGTCCACATTCAGTTTTTCCTTTACGATATTCGAAATACATGTATAGAAAAAAAGATTTATAGACAACCTTCTGTTTAAATTGTATTGACTTAGAGCTTAATTAATTCATAATATAAATAATATATATATATAAAATAAAAATAACTTGACAATCTCTGCTTTAACTACAAGTAGCTTTTAAAAGTGCACTATTAATGAGATGGCTATATGAACACTAGTTGATAGTTAATACTTTAGTTAATTATGCACTCTATAATGACCACAGACTATTACAATGTTGGGGTTTTTAAAATTAACATCACACAAAGTCGCATTTTACATTGTTAAAAACGAACTTCTTTTGTTTATAATAATTGCAATATTGTATATAAGAAACTTTGCGTCGTTTAGTTGGACCCATTACTATTATATCATTTAGTATTTAATTACATAAATCATATGAAAGTCTATAAAGTGGTGTTTGGGTATGACCTACAAAAAATTCACATATTTCAAAGCAATTTAGTCCATTTCAATATAATTCCACACAGGGAGATGGCATCGAGAGTAATGCTGCTCGGGCAGCACGTACCCGCAGGCGTGCTCTGGCCAGGCGAGCAGCACTTGCGAGACTACGACCTGGAACACCTCCCCCGGCGCCAGGAAGACGACATCATCCAATACAAACTGAATATTATTTGGAGGAGGTGATAAAGTTAATATAATATAAATAGCTCTAGCCTTCGCTTCTTGATGGACCATATTATTCAACAAAAATATTAATGCCATTGGGATAAATTAAAAGACGAATCTCAAATGTCTCTTCTTTTGGTTTTCTTTATTGTATCCAATAGTTATACATTAATTAAATTGTGATATAACTAATCAGTTTGCTTATCAGTTCACGGAAAAAATCTATTTAGTATTTACTTGGGTCAAAAGATGTTTAAATAATTATGAATTATATTTTGCAGTTGTTCGACAAAGGTGTGGAGATGGAAGTGGGTGTCCAGACTGATCTATTCGTAGACCGTCCAGCAACTCCTATATATGTACCTGCTAAGACTGGAGCAGACGCTTCAACTCAAATATACCCTGGAGACGTAAGAAGCTCCATACATACTTTGTTTATATAACAGCGCAATTTATACTAACTCCTTTGTATATTATTACTAGCTTTCCGCTCGCAGCTTCGTCCGCGTGGAGTTCGGTTATATCGTGTTTCGAAGAGAACCTTTCAAAAGTCTGGCATAAAAACTATCCTATGTTCTTTTTCAAGGTCAACTCTATCTCTGTACTAAATTTCATTAAAATCAGTTCAGTGGTTTAGGGGTGAAAGTGTAACAGACAGACAGACAGACAGAGTTACTTTCGCATTTAGAAATTAGTAAGTATTATTAACATCCATGTAATCCATTTAATTGTTCCAGCTGTTCGATTTCGACCTAGAAGTACAGCCAATACTAGAAGTCCTCGTGGGCAAGACGACAGAACAAGCGTTAGCAGAAGTAGCCCAAGAAGAAGAACTTGCCACTCTCAGAGAGCAACAGAGACGGTACCGCGAACTAAGAGACGCAGAACTGGCTGAGAGGCAGAGATTAGCGGCTCAAGATGAAAGACTTCAGAAAGAAAAGGTTAGCTAACTTATTACATGACCAAATTCTATGGCTAGCATAACATTCCAAAATAAGCAAGAAGTAGATGAAAATATCAAAATATTTATCTCCATGGACAGTTTTTCGAATATTATAATGAATTAAAATTCAATGGTATCAATTTAATATTTGAAATTAGTGTCGATCCTTTGTTTCAAAAAGTAATATCGCCAATGGAATCTTCTTTAAATTAATTGTGTATGGTCATTAGTGATAGAATAAATTGAATCTAAATAGATTCATACATGGAAGCAATAGCCGAGATATATATCTTTATATATATAATTCTTCTGTGTGTGTATGTCACTGAACTTCTCTCAAACGACTGGACCGATTTTGATGAAATTTTTTGTGTGTGTTCAAGGGGATCTGGGCATGGTTTAAATTCACAATTTTGTCCGCTGGACAATGTTTTTTTAATTAATTTTTAATTTATTAGTAGTTGTTGATACAAACGTTTTTTTTTTTGACATTAGATTTGACAACTAACTAATATGTCAATCATTCTGTCGCACGTCAAAACACGGAGATTTATGGCTTTAATAGGTAAACTCCAAAAATAAAAACGTGACAGATATTTCTTGATTATAGGGCGATACGAAGTTCGACGGGTCTTCTAATACATATATATCTAAGACTTTCGAAATATTCATTTAAATAATATAGGATGTATGTTATAGGAGCGTCGTATTGCTGAAGCAAGAGCGGCTGCAGTATCTGGTCGGGAGGCTCGATCTCGTGTGGCCGCTGCAGCTTTGGTCCATGGCTATGTAGCTGATCTCCTGCCAGCTGTACTAGCCGGTCTAAGGGACGGAGGGTACCTTGTGAGGAGAATGCAGCAAGGTCAGATGCTTTATATACCCTTTATATGTCTTCTACCTGGCAATTTCCTAGCTTTAACCAGGGTCTGCCTTACATGTTGCGAATTTTGGCTAATTGTTTTTACCACCGGCCGCCTGCCTGACATCAACCCTCTTTTGGGAAACCCTTTTGAGATACCCTTTATATATGTCGTAGTGTTATAGATTCAGAATTTAAAATTTATAAACTAGTTTTTTTACCACGTCTGTAATGACGTGCCTGATTTTAAAGTTATAATCATTGTCAGGAGTATAACTCGCGACCCTAAAATTGTACGATACCAGCGTTACTTTTTGGTATACATACAAGTATTTTTTTAATTAAATAATAACTTAATCTGTAATTATAGCAAACTATTACGTAATCTAAATTTGGTTTTTAGTTCTAGTGCTTAGTTTACTTAGATCTATAGCATGGATATACGCATATTCAAACATTAACTTTTACAGATTATTAAAAATAATATTGAAATATGCATTGATCTACTTTATTATTAAAAAAAAATTATGAACAATAATGTTGATTTTGAGACAATAGTAAACATATAAAAAACTATGATTACTTAAAAGTATTTTTCCAATTAAATATCTTTTTTACATTAAAATAAAGGCTATGCAGTCTACCAAAGAATCACAGTAAATTTCACGTAAAGCATAGTGCTATATCAAAATGTATTCAATCGTCTTAGTATGTACAGTACTAGAAGTGGAGAAAATTGTATTAAGCATTTTATTATTACCTTCGTTATGGCTGCTATTACAATTTTAAATGTATTGTAGCAATAACAAAAAATGCAGCAAAATAAATTCAATTTTAACAAATAGAACCATGTAACTCTATTTATACGATGAATATGAATGGAATTAATATTTTCGGATTACAACGCCTTATTTTATTATTTAAAAAACTATATACTCGCGACGTTTCGGTTACTTTTCATTACTTTGCAGCAACAAATATTAACTCGTAGAAATCCGAAAATATGAGTTTCATTTAAATGAATATTCGCTAATGACTTAAATATCACGGTAAAGATGATTTTATTAAAGCCAAACTTCTTATTTATAGTTTAATGTCTCAATTACAGGCGTCGAAGATGAATTTATGCCCTGGCTAGTTCAAGAAGTCTCTCAAGAGTTGGAATCTATCATAACAAGCAGAGACGTTATTACCGGTAAAAATCACAATTATAGTTCATTTGGGATTTTTTTCTATATATACTAACTATGTAAATTAATACAGAAATTGTACGAGATGTAGTCGAAGCGAGATCTGAATTATACGGAGCTGTTGGAGAAATTGAGGCTCAAAGAGTATCACCACCAGAGTCAATCACACCGCTATCAGAATTAGAAGGAGAAGGAGAAGCTGAAAGTAAGTATACCACCTCGTGGATAAAACAATATGTCATCTGCGTTTACCTGGCAATTTGCCAGATTTAGCCAGGGTCTGCCTTACATGTTACATAGTTTTGCCTAATTGTTTTTACGACAAGCCGCCTGACATCAACCCTCTTCGGGAATGCATTAATCAGTGATGTCTAAATACTCTTAGAAAGTATATGTGATTCGAAAAAATCATATTGTACTTGCCAGGATCGAACTGACGCCCTCGTGCATGAGAGCCTTTTAACCACCACTGACTCGTAAAAAACAATACATCATGTTCACTATTAATTAATTTCTTCATGAAAATATATTCATATTTCAAATAGACAAAAATATCTTTAAAATTACTGAAAACTCCTATAACTTTATATGTATTTCACAACATCTAGTATTCTTTTATTTAAAGTAGAGTTTACAAAGACAAATCAAGTACTATTGTATATATAGAGATTAATTAACAATTACGAATAAAAACTCATATTAATATTGCAATAATATATTCTATATTATACTTATGTGACCAATATATCATTGCGTGCCACCCAAATCAATATAGCAACAAGTGCAACCTGTCAAAGCGGCGCGCGCGCATCCGTCACGCGCGCCACGTGCTATGAATACGATCATTACAGCGATATGCCATCCCTATTAGCTTACAGCAATCTGTTGCCAATCATTACTAGTCAAAAATATCTTTCATACAAATATGATCCTTATTTTAAATAACTATATGTAATAAATTCGCTCAAACTTAAATGGAATATCCTTTAGAGTGCAGCGCTGTCATCCGAAGTGTCAAGCGAATTTATTCCGTATTATTGAATCATTAAGCGTAGTACAACCGCTAGTGTATATGAAGGGTGACAGATATTTCACGCTTAAAAAATACAACCGATTCTAACTCTTATTTTCTTTGATATAAACGTTATATTTGTATGTATCTGTCAGTTGGTTAGTTTGCGGTCACGATGTATTAGGGTGTTACGGTATGATGATATTATAATGTCGTGACGTCACACTCGCCCTAGCCGGTGCACGTGCGGTTATTGTCAATTTTAAAATAATTCACTTGAACCTATATAAAGGAGGCCATTGTTGGGTAATTAGAGGTAATACGACTAATAGATTTGTTGGTCGCTTGGATAAGTTTTTGGATGTTTTTTTTTATTATTCCATGCGATTTATATAATATTGTATGTGACATATGTAATTGCTTTATATTTTAGAGCTATTTTTCATATGATAAATGTGAATATTTGTAAATATTTCGTATATAGCTATATAATGTAAAAACTTAGCATACATATCAAAAAATGTAAATAAAGAAGAAATCTAGCAAGATAGAATAGCTAGCAAGATAGAAGGTTTAATAAAATATGTATATTGTTAGAGTAATTCAAGCGGTGAAATACAATAGTTATTATATACTAGCTTTTGCCGCGACTCCGTCCGCGTGGAGTAGTGACTTCCGGCAGATTTTTGGTTCTTCCCACATAGTTCCCGTTCTTGCGGGGTTTTCGGAATGGTCGAGTTCCCGTACAGTTTTCAGGATTCAACCTATGTTTTTTTTAATTCACAATGAAATCCTCTTAACCAACAACATATTTATTTGTTTATTTGAATAAAGATTAATATTATTATGTTGATACAACTTAAACAAATTATTTCGACCAAATTAGGTCCCATAAAAACGGTTTTTGTGAGATAATTTTAAAAGATAGACATATTCTGTCGCGGACTGTTTTTTAGATCATTAAAAGAGCTATAATTCTTTAATACATATTTTTTGTGTATCTTGAACCGTCTTCACGGCGCACGCAACGGAAGGCTTCAAAGATGAAATAATTTCTCCCGTTTTTTACACATTTATCACTATATCTTTCCTCCTATTGGTCGTAGCGTGCTGTTATATAGCTGTGAGCCTTCCTCGATAACTGGACTATCCAACACAAAAAGAATTATTCAATTCGAACCAGTAGTTTCGGAGATTAGCGCTTTCAAACAAACGAACAAACAAACTCTGCAGCTTTATAATATTAGTATAGATTTTCCTTAATAGTACTACTAATATCCGAAAAAGTACTAATTTTTTTTAAGTGTACATGGAAAAATCGTAGATATCATTGCAATAATCCTTTTCATATAAAATATAATTGTTTAGGCACAAGTAAATCTCTTATAATACGAATAAGTTAAGAAAGCAAAATCATCTATTTTTCAGTCTATACTTCATTCTACCTTGATTCTTTTTAACACTTATTTATCCAAAATTATTCCTTTATCACTTTTTCACGAATATTTTTATTGGTAACGGCTTTATTAAGAAAAATAATTAATTAATAAAAGAGCATCTAGCTTTTAAATGTTACTTTATACGTCAATATAACAAACCAATCGTATAATAAGTAACGAAATAGTACCCCATGAAGATTGTAAGTAAGATATGATATAAATAATAAATATTAATGGCTTACGTGCGCCTGCGTTAGTCAATTGGCCGCACGTGCACCACACGGAGGTATCTTGTTTCGTTACTCGCACCAAAAACTAAGAATTATTTAGATTTATATATAATATATCTAAGAATGAAAAGTATTTATGTGATATTATCTGTTAAATTGTACATTTAATTAGGTTTAATTTTAGAAGTTTTTATTAAAACGTATCATTCTTTTTATACTTAAACCAAATGCAAGAAATTAATTTTAATAAACTTAATTTCTATTCAGTTTTAAAGATACATATATAAATTTATGAGCATTCATCTGCACCCAAATACATTAAAGTCACACTAAACATTTATGCAATAAGTGTTCCGTTACTTAACTAACTCTAAAATTACATTTTTTTAATTATATACCACATCCAAATATGCAGAACTGAGAGTACACCATCCAGCATCCACCGCGTATAGATGCTTATCTTAATTCAATCCCAGTGCGATAAACGCTGTAATACTTTAAGTACATCCCAGTGAGTGTTAAATGTTCAACTACACCTGACATTTCCCTCACAGTTTATAATATCAACGAATTATTATTTAGTATTTGATAAATTAGAAAGTTGAATGAAAAAACATCGCGTGATGATTTGTGATTTATAAGAAGTATGAGAAACCGTTTGATTCTGTTTTATTAATAAACTCAACTATGGATATTCCAATCCATAAATTTTGTTAGATTACCTGACTTATAGAAAACTACATACGTAGGTATAAAGTTTTAATATATTTGTAACTATACGTATACTCTTAGTAGAGTATAGAGATTTTTTTTTATATTATAGTCTTAACAATTTTTTTAATCTAATTCTATTCAGACTTTCATTCGGCAAGTTCGATTTTAGTAATACGTGAATCTTAAATATTTTAACTGTTTTTACACCAAAATCTCTACAAATAGTTAATATCGTGTTTCCAATATTTCGCAATGTAAATATTTTTGCAGCACTCTCCGGACATTAGCGGAGACACCAACAATCATGTCCCTCCTGCAACACTATCTACTGTACTCATCTAGCCAAACAAAATATACCTAAAATAATTGAAACTGACGACCAATACTATACCAAGCTGAAATCAATCTTATCACTATAAATTAGAGTTGAATTTTGATTGTACAGTTCATATTTGTGCAGCTGCAATTCGTCGCCTCTAACAATACAATAATAATGTAAAGAGCTTAAATGTTTCAATTTGGTGCACTTCATAAAAACACGCGGTATTCACCGAACGATTAGTTTAAACCCTTGCCCTTTTGGTTTTTTTACCAACAGATTATAAAATTTGATTTGGTTGAATATATTTAAAAAATATATTAAATCTGTATCACAAACAATTTTATTAAAAATTAATTTAATGAAAATATCAATTAAATTTAATTCCGCGAGCGTAAATATATTTAAAATATTTTTTTTAACTAGTAACATTATAAATGCTGTATATGCTAGATTACTTTATTTTTAATGGCAATAAAAAAAACTTTAGTTACCACGTGCGCAGTTATTACAATATAAACTACGTATTATTTGTTCCGTACTCCATAAGCACGGATTATGTCAAGTGTCATTTGTACTTCACATTTCTTTTTGTATGACATTTAAACGTCATTCAAATGTTATTTAAATGTTGGATATTCTTTTATATGTTTTTTTTTATATGTTTTTATTATTCTGCCTTCATTAATTTATTAGGAACGTTATTAATTATTATGAATATTCTACATACTAATATAATTCATCCAAGCCTTTGCATACATTTGTCTTTTTTTTTGTACATTTTTATATCTAATATATTATTATTTTTGGACAAAAGAGGTTTATGTATGCATATAAGTGGAAAATAAGACCTTTTCATATCATTGTACGCAGAAAAGTATATATTTTGTTTTAATTCCGAAGTCAGTTTGTTTTATGTAAACTTTCTTAGAAAATATAACATTCAGAAAAGTTATAAGAAATAAGGTAGGGCTCGAGTAAGAAAATAAAAATTTTCAATATTTTTTTCAAATGTTTATGTGTAATTGAATAATATTGAGATCAGTCAAAGTAATTTGATAAATTCAAAACTTATTTAAGTCAAGGTCCCTTTTACACGCTAGCGTCATCCTAATCATCTTTTATTATTTCAGTGAACGAAGAATAGCCGAAGGAAAAAACATTTGTAAGAAGTTACTTTAGATCGTCAACATGAAAACTAGTTGTAGTATATTAGACGTATTTATTTTAATTGTTTTATAAATTAACCAACGTTTTAATGTTAAAGAATTATCTACATAAAAATCTGATTAATGATGTACATAAATTAAAATAACTTTATTATTTCTATTAACTTTACTATTTCTTTGTATTTTATGAGAGTTTGGTATCTATAATTTATAAAATCATATCAATTGATGACTTTGAACTTTGGATAAATGCTCATACACTCATTTGCACTAATTATTATTTAGTAAATGTAGTGTGGTTACAAAATATTTGTTATTGTTGTGTTAAATTTATATTAAATCAGAAGTTTTAGTAACTAAATTCGTTTTAAATTTTGTTTGATTGACTAATATTAAAAAATCAAAATAACGTGTTATGAGTACTTTTTAAAAGGTATATGTACTTTGAAAGTAATGTGTACTATGTTAGGACGTTTCGAGGAATACCTAAATAAATTAAAAGTTGGTGAAGTCACGTGATCTTGTTAAAGTTTTTAAATAAAATTTTTGCAATCAAAATTTGTGTTTTATTAACAAATTAAACCAAAATGTACCCCTATATACAAAAAGTGTTGCCAATAATTTGGGGGTAGGATCGAAATGGTCAATGCGTTTAGTCTCGGTATGTGGGGAGGCGTAATGCACCCCGCGATTTAATAACAATTGTTTAATCACTGACAGATTTGCGGAGGGTATAGCACCCTCAACCCTCTGGACCTCCATATATATAGGATGGAAAACCGAACCTGTCACCACTTGCCCTTGTACCTGCGAACGATCCTCTCAATACGTTCCTCATTAAAAAATATACAATCGAAAGCTCCAGGCATTTTAATTTGGGTTAATAAATAGAATCAGTTGTTACTTTATCCGTATGGTTGTGTGTATAATGGAAGAAACTCGAGTATTGTCGAGACGTGGTCTTCGGCGTGGATGTCACTCCGATGATTTCCCGCTTAGAGATCTCGCTGAGGCCGTGCATAGTGGAGTGAAGGAAAACGTAAGTAATACTAATATTCTATACTTATATCCAAGCATTTTATAGGGACAATGATCGAGATTTTTTATATTCATAGGAGTGAGAAAAAAATATATTTTTGTAACACCACTACAACTAAATAATTTGTACACCCCTACCATCCTATCTCTCTCCTCTACCAAAGGTTGCCTGGAAGAGATCGCTGTTTTAGCGATAAGGCCGCCTGTTGTACATTTTTCTTTTCTTTGTTTTTGTTTTACTCCTATTATTTTTGTCTATATTGGTGTGCTATAAAGAGTATATAAATATAATAAATAAATCAACTACTGCCTCTCTAATTTCAGATATATCTGGAACTTGATTCAGCAAACCAGCTCACAGCGCGTGGAGGTATAGCCCTGGCAGTTTGTACCTCCCAACTTGCCCCAACTCTGCCTCTTGCCAGTGCTCTTCTATGTCTTGAATCAGAAGCTAGATTGCGTGTGAGAATATTGACTGACACACCACCGATGCACGAAATGATGCTGTGGTTCGGTGAGGTTCTCTTGGCTCATCTGGATATGCCGTTTCTAACACTTAGAAATATCACAGGTATATTTTTATATGCATACGCTTACTTTTTAAAAAATAAACCATAAGTTTCTTGAATTTTTCCTATTACGAGTATATTACTGTAAAAATGAACCATTGATATTCTGAAAGTTATTTCTAATAATAATATTACCACTAAGATTCATTTTCTTATATTTCCATTTCCATTCATCACCAAATAATTGCATTACAGGCAAGAAAACTTACACGTGCCACGACTGCCGAACAGAGTTTGAACACCCTAATCTCTTGAAAGTGCACCTATTTCTGGCTTGCCATCCATTCGAACCTCACGTGTTTTGGAGACGCTGCATCATAAAGCTTCAAACAGCACTATCTATCACGCCAGTTTCACCTTTACCAACATTACCGATTACCACAGACCCAGCTCAGTTAGAAGCATTAGCAGCAGCTTGGGGCCGTTCTAGAGATGGACACATTTGTTTGTATTGCGGGAAATTATACTCTAGGAAGTATGGCTTAAAAATTCATATAAGAACTCATACAGGCTATAAGCCGCTTAGATGTAGGCACTGCTTACGGGCTTTTGGTGACCCCAGCAACCTTAACAAGCATGTTCGCTTACATGCGTCCAGTTCTGGCTCGAGTGAAGCACACGCGTGTAGTTTATGTCGTAAGCCGTTAGCACGGAAACGAGATCTCTTAAGACATTTACGATCTCACCATCCACATGCCTTATCTGGTAAGAGTGATACTTGATAAAGGTTCATTTTGTCTTTGAAGCGAAGATTTAAAAGACATAGGATAGAAGAATAAAAAGTGTCCTTTAGTTGCATTACTAACAACGTTCAAGCACTTGAAAAGGCTTTAAATATATGTGGACTAGATAAAAGAGCAAGTTTCTCCAATAATCTCCGATTTACATATCATAATGACTATGACTTTTGAATATAAGTGAAACTTTATCTATATACAGCCTTACTCAATTGTTCTAAATATTTAAAATGTACGTATATTCCAAGAATAGCATACCTACTCTATTAAGAATATGGATGTTCTAAATGTCATTATTTTTACAGTTTCGATATTTTAGATTTTTTGTAACATAATTAATTGTCAGTTATTAAAATAGTTGTAAATACTAATAATTTTGGATAGACATAAAACATTGTCTATTGTACGTACTTTTATATTGTAAATATTGTAAAGAGATGTACATATAAATTATAGTTACAACAAATTTGGGGTTATTATTTATTTCGAGATTTGTATTGTTTAATTGGATATATTCGGTAACCCAGCTTCAGCATAAATACTATTCCAGAACTCCATTCTCTTTCTATCAGCATAGTTTCCCATAGAAAAAGGTTCCTCAATATTAAAATACTCCTTCCCTTGTTTTGTATATGGCTTCCAATTTACTCCAAAGTAGTTGGATGGCGTTGGACGTCTGAAAAAATACGTAAATCAATTTTGTATGTAAAATGATATTGAGGAGATAAAGAACACTTAAGGTGCTACCTACAAAATAAAACTTACATAGAAATTAATTAAAATAGGTAAGTTATGATCAGAAACGATAATAATATTGATTATACAGTAATAAGTTGTTTGAAAATTACCTAAGTATATCTTTCGTGATGAAAAACAAATTTAAAATATTACATTACATAATTCATTAATTATGATTATAATACTCCACTTACCCTGTTTTAGCGAAATCTGTCCACAATTTAGTCACTTTAAACACTATGTCTCGTAATTGCTCATTATTTTTATACAGTTCCTCGTTTAAGTAATTATAAAACAAATAAAATAGATCATCAGCGTGGCATACACCTTTTAAGTTGCTATGTCCGAGTGCAATTTTTATTATGTTTAACTTCGTTACGAAATTAAATCTGTACATATAGATTGATTCGTAAAATGATGCGTATAAATTAACAAATCTATGATCAGGATACGAGAAATGTAAATCTGTTATCAAATCAGCAATTGTATCTAAATCGTCTGTTGTAAAATTCCCATTTCCAACGTAGAATTTTTTTATCCTATCTCCTAGGTTCTTTAATTGTTCTGTAGTTACTCTATCTACAACCTCTTTGGGAATATAGTAAGACGGTTCTTTATTGTAAATATCCAACAGAGTCGCTTGAAAATCCACAGCTATCAAACCTTCTGCGGAATTATATCCGATCATTAAAGGTACTTTGTTTATCTTATTTTCGACTAACATTTTTACTGGATGTTCATTTATGAATGCTTCAACATTGCGAAATCTTTTCTCAATAACTGGAACGAATTGAGCTGGCGGTCCCCTCAACATCTCATCAGGTGTTAGTGTAGCAACAGTTAGGTTCACGAGACGCTTGTCATCTAATTTTCTAAGATAATCTAGCAAATCTTTTTCAGATGTTGTATCGATTCCTAGAATCTTTCCAGCCCTAAAAGCCCTTGCTCTCGCATCGACACCCACATCATGAATGGCTACACCACTTTGAGCTATTACTCTATGAAAAAGGCCTCTTGACATTCTGGAAAACATATGATAAGTAGCGGCTGAGGCACCAGCACTCTCGCCAAAGATCGTAACAGAGTTTGGATTTCCTCCAAAAGTTTTTATGTTATTTTTAACCCATTTCAATGCTGCGACTTGATCTTTCATAGCCGCATTCCCTGGTACTTCCTCATTATCCAATGATAGGAAACCAAGTAATTCCAATCTATAATTGAAAGTCACTAAAATAACATCATGTTGTAAAAGGAAGTCTCCTAAAAAGAAATCGCCCGATCCTTCTGAGAACGCGCCACCGAAAATATATACCATTACAGGGATTTGATCGTTTTCGTTTAGTGTCTTTGTATACACGTTCAAGAATAAACAATCCTCTTCACCAACAGCTGCTTGTATAGTTGAATTATATTGGGTACATATAGAACCGAATTTTGAAGCATCGCGTACACCTTCCCAAGGGCGTGGCGGCAATGGTGCCTAGGATTAAATATATATAAATAATAAATATTAAAATTATTAACATAGATGCATATCTATATAGTATATGAAAATGAATCGCTTTTGGTCACCGCATCACACGTTAATGGTTGGACCGATTTCACTAATTCTTTTTTATTGTATATGTTATTATTAGAAGAAGGTTCATATGTAAGAAAAAATTACAAAAGTTACTAGAAAAAAAAACTAGAATATTTCACTTTTTTAATAAAATAATATATGTCGCTGGCAATAATATTCACGTAGTTGCCATTTAAATAAAGAAAAAACTAAAACAAATTTACATGTATTTTGTCAATATATCGGTCGGAGTTAATCTGCGGCCGAAGTTATAATAACAAAATACCTACATCATTCATTTACCATTTCTTAGTGTACTTTTCACATTGGTTTCTACAGAATATTTTTTAGTGTGTGTAACAGATATTTCTTGATTATAGGGCACATATTATTGTCAGCTAGTATATTTTATTATTAAAATGTATTCACCTTAAAACGAAGATTTCCTACAGGCGGTGTTGCGTACGGTATTCCTTTAAAACTATAATACTGAGACCCATCAACGAGTTTCCCAACTTTGCCTCTCAACTTACCATCTTGAATGCTCACGATGGGATCATTCTGTAATTATGATAAAACAAAAGTCACCTTCACAAAAAATATATTTCAACTAGATATTACAAGTAAACCAGTAAAACAAATTCAAATAATATCATTCTTAGAATAGCAAAGCAAAGATAACATTCTGTACTGTATTGATCATAAAATGACGGGTTTTTTATATGAATTAAATAACTATGTAAAATTCTACTTACATTTTTACAGGTAGCGACTACTGCATTGATAATCAGTTGTAGTACAAATAAATTCAATTCCTTTTTACACATTGTCTCGTCTTTGTATATTAAATGTAAGTGTCTCTGACGCATAAACAGGGTTTATGCCAGACCGCTGTCTTGTAAGAGATTGTCGTGTTTTGTTATTTTTGATATCGTTTTCCTTAAGCAACAACGAAGTGAGGAGAATAATTTACAGGTTCCGTACAAAAATATAATAATTTATTAAAGACATTTGTATTTGTTCATATAAATTGTTAAAATAAAAGGATTTTTGATAATATATTTAACTAGTAATAATATGTAAGGAAAATTCAGTGGAACAAGAAAGTCTAGGTACTTATTACGAATTGATTATTGCGTGTATTGATAGTTAACTTCTATTTCACTTGTTATACTAATTTTGTGTATTTTCCTTTCGATTTCTTTGCAGTAATATATGTATAATCGGTATCCAATAACGGTCGTTCTAACATATAATATTTATATAAAAATTATAAATATATATATATTATGTAATGTATAATATATTATTATAGAAAACTACATAAGGTAAATGTATCATATAAAATTAAATTAATGTCACAGTTCCGAATAAAAACTTATTGATATGAACATTATTTGTACAATACCTAAACTCCGCGAAAACTGATATACTTATTATACGGAGAACGATTATAACTAAGGAAACAAAATTTATAATATTATATATTTTCCTGTTTATTCATACTTTTAAGCACTCTCATATCCGGATAATGCGTTTGTATATAAATTTTTATATATATTTCAGTTATTATTCTGTTTTATTAATTTAAGTTATATTTGATTTTGTGAAATTTAAATTTACACTAACACGGAAATACGTAAAGGGCATTTTTTTTAAAGGAGATAACTTTTCTTTCTCTTTTTATAATCTTTTAATGAATAATATATCCATCTCTTTTCAAATTTCTTTGAAATTTTTATTAAAACACTAAACATGTGATACATTTTTCATTCTAAACAATTGAGATATTAAAAATACATTTGTACAAATAAATGTACATTTTACAAGAAAGTTGACACTAAAATGTTTTATAATTTATTCATTGTAATATTATTCTAACATTAAAATGAAAGTGTTAACGTTTCTGTTGCTGAAATAAATTTAAATAACAAGCAAAATTAATACGTAATTGTTAAATGCAATGGCATATGTACATTTCAAAAGGTAATTGTAAAATTACTGCGACTACAGCAATATAATATATTATGAATCATATCTTGACATATGCTAAAACATATGTTAATATGAAGAAAATTATAATTACATTAATGATATGTCTTTTCCCTTATGAAAATCTAAACTGTTTTCAAGAAAAATTACCACCCATTTAAATTTCAAACAAAAGAAAGTATTTTTTCACGAAAATTTCTAAGAACTTTTTCAGTTATAATTAAAAGAAAAAGACAAAAAAATAAGGCTTCAATATCTTTTATTAATCATACAACTGTATATCAGTATTACAAATGTAAATATTTCATAATTTAAATGATTTATCATGCTACGACTGACATTTATATACTTGTATTTAATTTCAGTGGTGACATTTCTGTGAGGAAATATGTGGTAGACCGGCCTCTGCGTACATTTTATCCCAAAACTCGATTCTATCTTTATCAGCGTATCTTCCTACAGAGAATGAATCATCTATATTGTAATATTTTTTCTCATGTACTGTGTAAGGCCTCCAGATTTCGCCGACACTGTTATCAGGCGTTGGATTGCTGGAACGAAATATGAATAATTACCCTTAATATCTAAACGGCATATTTATTTAATTTATCGTCATAATAACAGTCTAATAATAAATAGAGAACCTAAACCTGCTCTTAAAATATAAGTATAACTTAAACATATACATATATATGTGTAAACTAATAATTTGACCTCTAAGATAACCGCAATATGTAAACAAGGTCACTTTAAAATATAAATGCATAATGCATAGAAATAACATGAAAAATGAAATAGTAATAAAATATATTGGTATTATAAATAAATAAATTCCTATCCACCTTAATTACAACGATAAATAGAGTAAGTATAATGATTCATACAAAAAAACCCAAAGGGGGAAGCGACTAAGGAAAACTATTTGTAATAACTCGTTCATTGTTAAACGTATCACTGTTTGGGCTTTCCATTACTTTAATCGGTTTTTTAATTGTAATGTCATTAGAATTAGTTTAGAAAAATTACGTAAAGAAAGTATGATCTTACCCAGTCTTGGCAAAATCAGCCCAAAGTTTGGTCACTTTGTATATAATTTCCCTCAATCTTGGTTGATTTTTATACAAATCTGCGTTTAAGTAGTTGTAAAACAAATACCAAAGCTCATCAGCGTGAGATACTCCTTTTAAATTTGTCAATTCTAATGCAATCTTAATAATATTTAAATCAGTGACGAAGTTAAATCTGTACAGATAGGTCGAGGCATGAAGTGAAGCGTATAAGTCAGCGAATCTATGTGTGTTGTATGAAAAGTGCATATCAGTTTGCATATCTGCAATAGTGTTCTGATCATTCTCTGTAATGTTATTATTACCGACGTAAAATCTTTTTATTCTATCACCTAGTTCTTTTAACTTTTTACTAGACACTCTCTCAGCTACTTCTCTCTGTACGTAATACGAAGGTTGGCTGTTATAAACATCGAGTTTTGTTATATGATCCCTTACAATTACAAGACCTTCTGCGGAATTATAACCCAACATCAGAGGAACTTTATTCACCTTACCTTCTGCTAGCATTTTAACTGGGTTCTCAGTAATAAAAGGTTCTACATTAGGAAATTTCTTTTCAATAACAGGTATAAATTGTTCAGGTAAACCTCTGTATCTCTCATCGTCTGTGAGAGTTGAAAACGTAAGATTAGTAAGTTGATACTGATCTATATTCATAAAAAAGTTATAAAGGTCATGAATATTATCTGTCTCTTTTCCACGAATTTTTCCTGCTCTAAAACCTCTTGCTTCGGCTCCTTTAGCGATAGCCCAATCGTGAATACACGTGCCACTTTGGGCTATGACTTTATGGAAAAGACCTCGTGACATCGGCGAAAACATATGATATGTGACAGATGACGCCCCAGAACTTTCCCCGAAAATAGTTACACTTCTCGGATCACCTCCGAACTGATCTATATTTCTCTGTATCCAACGTAACGCGGCGACCTGGTCTTTCAAACCAGCATTTCCAGGTGCCTCGGGTATTCCTAAAGATAGAAAACCGAGTAATTCGAGTCTATAATTTAGGGTAACCAATATAACATCATGCTGCATGAGGAAATCTCCCAAAAAGAAATCTCCTGATCCTTCGTAATAGGAGCCCCCATGAATGTATACCATGACGGGAATTTTAGATTTTTTATCTAAAACCTTCGTGTAGACGTTCAGAAACAGACAGTCTTCGTCTCCCTGAAATGTCGTGTTGAATTGTGTGCATATGGAACCGAATTTTGTTGCATCGCGAATACCTGACCATGGTTTTGGAGGTAATGGAGCCTGTAAAAAATTAAGCCTTGTGTTATGAGGACATATCTAGTTCTAATTACGGAGACCACTTTAAAACCTAGAACGATTAATAAAAACTTTTAATACTAGGAATTGTATAAAAAGTGTATAGCAATCTTTAACAACTAAGAATAATTTAATCAAAATATCCCGAACACTGGACTAATACTATTATTGCAAAAATTATTATAGTTGTAATTGCTTAAATTGAAACGAAATCATAAATAAATAGACTAAAAAATTGATTAAAAATAAACCAATGTTTTATGTTAACGCTTAATCAAAGCTTAAACTTAAATCTTTCAACTAAGAAAACGATTATTTGTAAAAGAAAAAGATAAGTTTATATTAAAAAATAAATATATTTCACATGTTTCGATAAAAAACTCACTAAAAAATGGACTCATTTTAAACTATTTATTCAGAAAGATTATGTACAAAAAATTAAACAATTAAATTACGTTACTCATTACCTTGAATCGCAAATTACCAATAGGTGGCGCAGCGTATGGTATTCCTTTGAAACTGTAATATCTGGCTCCGTCCACTAAATTTCCAACTTCTCCCCTCAATTTCCCTTCATTAACTGTTACTATGGGTTCATCCTGGGAACGTTAATATAATTTACACAATATATGTACAGTACACTTCAATATACACTTCATAGAAAATACTCACATTCACTTTATCAGCTGATATTATTTTCAATATTATAAAAATTACAGCAAAGAAACAATATTTATGAGTCATATACATTTTAGTAATGAACAACGACTTTATCACACAAGACATCAGCCTGTACTGTAAGTAAACTTGCGACTTGCAATCATTTCGACTTTTGTCTTCAACATATTTTCCTTATACGCGTTCAGTGAGTGTGAGTTTTATCATTAAAAAATACTATTTAATTAAGTATATGATGATATAAATAAAATTATTGTTTTAAATTATTAAAAAAAATGGTGTTTAAACTTAATTTTACATATAAAATAGTGGATAGACTTAAAGTGAGGTAGATAACACAAAATATTTGAAACCTGTAATAGTAAAAAATATTTTTTATCGTAGTGACAGCATCTAAAATTAATATTTTCTTTTCCACGTATGTATTAAATTGTTTTTTTTTTTTACAAACTTAAAACTTTTTATCATTTTATATTACATAATTTATTTATTATCTCCAAAGGCTTTCACCACAGATAAGATGTTTACTGAAAAATGTATACAACAAATGAAACCTCTATTCCCGAAAAACAATGAAACTATTTTATAATTATGTACTTACAAGATCAATGGATATCGCAAAACTCAATTAATATAATATTTTTTGGGTATAAAATACACTCGTATTTACGATTTACTTTATTTGTTAATTCTTTCAAAATCTCATTAAATAAAATAGAATTATAGAAGTCCCTGTTTTTTTGTTCATTTATTTTATAAAACATTTGTCTAGAAATAAATAAAAGTGTATGTCTGTGTGTAACATTGAAAAAACCTTTTTTTACTAGATGCATAATATATAGTATATATGTGGTACTTACACTAAAATAACATTTTTTACTACTTGTTCCGGCTAATTTCTGAAGTGGCTGACGTTATATTAAGGAGTAACTATTTGCTTTTTAAGCAGACGGAGTAGCGGCCTATAGCTAGTAATAAATGAAAGAAACGAATTATATCACATTTTCCGTTTTACATTTATTATATAATGTCACAAATTCTACCATTATTGGAAAACAAAAATAATTTAAAAATCCACTCATAATTTATTATGAGGATGAAATAATTGGTGTGAAAGAATTTTAAAGCCGAGCTCAAACCAATGATTCGGCTGCGTAGCAACAGATGGCGCTAAAAGTGATTTAGAAATATACTTCATACCCTTTCATTATATCATAAAAATTCAAGAATGCTGTGGTACATATATGATTAAAACTTTCGGATAAAAAATTCTAAATAATAGCTAATGTATGTATAAAATAAAAGTCATAAAGATGTATAGTATATATTTATATTAAAAATTGAATAGATTTTCTTCAATGGCTCGTTCTGACTCCCAGGCTTCTGCCGAGTCTAGATCTACTTTGGATCGTTTTGATTTCTTTGTTTTGATAACATCTTCACTATGCTTTCTTTTCCTTTTAGTTTTACTACTTGATTCTTGTACTTCACTCTCATTATGTTCTGTATTATCCACCTCATTTTCCGATTCCTTTTCAATCTTTCTTTTTTCTTTCTTTTGCTTTCTTTTCTTTTCTTTTTTACCATTAAACAATTCTGATGCACGATCATCAATATTCCCATTCAATCGCTCAGCGATCGCACTCGGTATTTTGATAGCCTTTTTATAATTTAAGCCGAACAATGGGTGCCTGCACTTGGTCTCGGGCAGCGGTATAAAGTTTGTTTGATTATTGACCATACAGGACTCTTGAGGTATATGTGCTTTAGGTATCCTTTTACGTAAACTTATTTCTCCCATACAGGGCATATTCTTAATATATGAGTTATTTGTGCTGTGACATAGCAAAGGTACTTGGGACAAATGGTTTTCAACGGAACCATCATATGAATGTCCATTAATTTTGACCTTCAATTTGGAGGCTAAAGTTATATTTAGATCCTTTAACGCCTTGATATCTATTTCTTTAGGTACTTTGAGTACCCAAATTTCATCATCGCTTGTAATTATATCTTCCTTAAATATATCAGGGGTATAAGGCTTGAGGTTTGGATTCATGTTTAAAAATTGTTGAATTTGTTTTGATGGTGCCGTCACTATGTTTTCTGAATCAGCACTCTCATCATCATCAAATGTTATTCTATCTGAAATTCGTGTTGTTTTTTTATTGCTCGATTCCTTTTCGAGCGACTTCTTTTTAGTTTTCGCTGGTTTTATTTGTGGTGCCGGCTTCAATTTTATTTTCGGTTCAAAATCTGACTCACATTCGAGATACCCGTTTGTAATTGAATGTGATTCTTTACTTTGATTATTGCTTATCAGTTTCTCTGGTGATTTTTCTAATGAAGTACTATCATTTCCACTTGAATTAGATTTAAAATCTTCACTTTTCTTTTTCTTCTTCTGCACAATGGTTTCTTCAGCTTCGAATTTATCTATTTCTATGACGGTTTCATCAAAGTTATTTAATGAATCATCATATGTGTTATTAACTTCGCATCTTATGCTAGATGTCTCGGTGGATTCTGAATCTTGTGTGTCCAACTCGATAACTTTGTCTTTTTTACTTTTTTTCTTCTTTTTCACAGGTTCCGGCTCAACGAATGATAGTTGCTCCTGTTTTACTCTTAAGTTTAAATAATCTTCAGCCAGAAGTGAATCCTGCGATGGTTCCAAATGATCATGATTTTCAGTATTTTTCCGCTTCTTTTTCTTTTTAGGCGCCTCTAAATCACTCTCAAGTTCAACCTTAATACTTTTATCTGTATCAATAGAGTTGTTTTCTAACATTTGCGAGGCTCGTCGTTTCTTATTTTTAGGTTTTTTCTCTTTATGCTGTATTTCATTTGTCTCATCGCCTTTATCTTTTTTGGAATCCTTATCTGCAGCATTTTCGGTGTTATCTCCGGGAATCCTGAAATTAAAATTAAAATAAAACATTAATGAATAATACATTATCTTATAACGGCCTTGAATAATGGGTGCAGCTTGTTCTAGTTAAAAGCAACCTAACCAGAGGATTCCAACATCTTAATTTCGAAGGAACAAATTTAAAAAAAAAACATTTTGTAAATAATAATTAATAATGAAATAGAAAACTTTTCTGCAAATTCACCTGAATGTGAATATTTTCTAAGCATAGTAAAAAACACAAATATTTATTTCCCGGTATTTGTCACAGACAAAACATTAAACTTCTTGTAGTTAATAGAACACATTAACATAGAACACACATAAAATATAATTTCTACCATAAAGTATTATAAAAATTGCCCAATTTGATAAAGTGCGTTTTAAAAATAAAATGTGTTTTATGTTTAATATCTATTATTATTATTACAACTACTAGTATGTCATACGTCGCAGTGGTAATTTATCACTGTTTGATGCAATATAAACGTGTATTCAATGTTTAAAGTTACTTTATTTGGGTTTTTTGGCTAAAAGTTAAGTTCAAAGTAAAGCATAGCAGGTAACTTATGATTTTTAAATGATATTTAGGTTCATTAGAACTTACATATCACATGAATCACTTGAAGCATCTGTCCATGTAAAACTTTCGCCAGAAGACTCCATAAAACATAAATAAACTTTAAATGCGAAACTTTTAAGTGTTTACACAATGACAGGTTATATTATAACCTAAAATTGTTTCATGTTTGTATCAGTTTTTTTTGTAAATATTTTTATGGCTCTGGACATAAGTCTTTTGAGCCTAAAAGTTTGTATAACTAGTTTGTATTAGTGATGTATGGAAGTTGCCATATAAATCTGGAATTCATTGATTGATAATAACGCAAATATAAATAATATTTGCCATTTTTTCTTATTATTTAACATATATCACATTTGACATTTAATCTTAATTTTTTTAATGGAATATTGAAACCCTATTTCTTTATATGATACTTGCTAAATAAATATTTAGCTCAAACGGGGCTTAGACTTTCACTTACTTAGAGGCGATAATATTATATAATCGCATCTTATTAATTAATTGTTAGTAACGTAGAGTTAATATTTTTAAAATAAAAATTATTGGTTTTGAAATGAAGCGGTAAGTTATTCCATGTTCCATTGATCTACATAAAAAAAATCAAGTTATATTAAACTGTACACATAAATTTCCAAAAATATATTCGTTCTTTTTTTTCAACAGTAACTTTATATTAGTTTTGAATTTTTTATCGTGGAAAAAAATTATGCTGGTTTGTACTGTAGTTAATAAAATGCTTACCGATTTCATTAAATTGTAAAACCATACCATTAATATATGTATATTGAATAGTTTTATGTTTCTATAAACTTAAACGCAAGTAGCACTCCATATCATTTATATTTAACTAGCTTTCCGCCCGCAGCTTCGCCGCGTGGAGTTCGGTTATATCGCGTTTCCAAGAGAACCTTTCAAAAGTATGGGATAAAAACTATCCTATGTTCTTTCTCAAGGTCAACTCTATCTCTGTACCGAATTTCATTAAAATCAGTTCAGTGGTTTAGGCGTGAAAGCGTAGCAGACAGACAGACAGACAGACAGACAGACAGAGTTACTTTCGCATTTATAATATTAGTAGGGATTATAATAATTATGAAATGACAATCAAAATACCTATGATAGCGGACAGAATTTACCAAAATTTGTTAAAAGTATCATTAAAACATAAAAATGACACTTTTGCAAAATATGAATTTGGTAACAAAATTAAAGAAGTTGATACGGAAAACGAAGAATTATTAAAAAAATCTTAAATGCAATCCTTTGCAAATATTAAATAACAGATACATATATGTATATGTTTATCTTGTAAAGTTATTAAAAATTGTGTTTGTAATTTTAAACACATTTTATGACATGTTAGTATAGTATTAGTATATATATTAGATAGTATAAGTAGCATAACACACAATAAAAAGAAACTTAAGTTTTTAAAATAAGTGTTAACGTACTATTTTAAATATGTTATGTTTTCTGAATTAACTACATACCTATCATTCTAAATAATTTTCATTAAGACCTAAAATATAAAGAATAATTATGATTTTGTTATTCATACATAAAAAGATACAAATAAAGTAAATTATATAATAGAAAACTTTGTTTCTATCCAAATTTCTTATAAATTTAGTTTTTGTATATAATAAAGAAGTATAATATGTATACAATTTATGCTTCTTAGGTTCGATGATTTTTTTTATTTCAAAAGATATTGGAAATAAATATTTTAAAAAGTATTTACCGTAAATTATATATTATATTTAAATTTTATTATATGTATTAAGGTTTTTTTTAACATTATTTTTATATTTGTTATATGATAATATTTATTGGAATCATATTATACTCTCTTATTCTTCTTGGCTGTATGTTGTAGTTCATTGACGTATTGTGATAAAAAAACAACTTCGGTCTTCTTGACACTTGACTGACGTTTACGTTCTTTCTTGTAAAACTTTGTGTCCAACATGGTGAGTTTATGTTTGAAATATCAAAAATAATCCATAAAAATCCTACCTTATTTGAGTTTTAAACTTGAAATTATATACTTTGTTAAGTGCCGTTTATATGTTTTTACTTTTTTCCTATTCTATTTTTGAGATATCATGAAAACTTTCTTAAATAATCTTTAGTGTATAGAATTCGTCAACGTACATTTTCTACGTATTATTATGTGATATCTTTGTGGTATTATTTTTTATTCTGTTAATTATTGATTATCGGCTTCAGTGTTAATAGTATTTGGTTATTGTTGAACTTATAAGTGAAGTTTGTGTTGTGTTTGTAGGCTCGTGGACCTAAAAAGCATTTGAAGCGTTTAAACGCGCCCAAGGCATGGATGTTGGACAAACTGGGTGGTGTGTACGCACCACGGCCGTCCACCGGTCCACACAAGTTGCGCGAGTGTCTGCCACTTGTTATTTTCCTTCGTAACCGCTTGAAGTACGCCCTGACCGGCAATGAGGTGTTGAAAATCGTAAAGCAGCGCCTAATTAAGGTTGATGGAAAGGTCCGAACTGATCCGACCTACCCCGCTGGCTTTATGGGTAAGTTGAGTTATTTTTACGTTGATATAAACAATGTTACTTTCATTAAAGAGGTTATGTTTTTAACGAGGTACGAAATTGAACATAACTCATACAACGACTTTAATACCAATATAGAAGTTCCCTATATTTTATAAAAATAGTATTTTACATTGTTAAATTGTTACTTTATATGTATAATAATTGTTATTATATTATTACAGATGTTGTATCAATTGAGAAGACAAATGAACTGTTCCGTCTGATCTATGATGTCAAGGGTAGGTTCACCATTCACAGGATAACTCCCGAGGAGGCCAAGGTACACATTCTTTTATTATTAACAAATAACAACTTACATATTATTGTTTTACATATATAAAATAACTACCAATTCTCTAATCCCTATGTACATTACAATAAGATAAACCTTTAGTGATTTATTTGTCCCTAAAGTTTATAAAGTAACCATTTTCCCATATAACTAACTCATTTTAATTATCTACTACATCTTATATACTATTAATTTCCACAAATTTTTGAATAACTTTAAATTAATTAATTCTAAATGAATGCATTCATGGTTATGCTGGTATTGTATTCAGCATATTTCGGTTACCAATCACACATAACATGTAAATGTTTTCACATAGATATGTTTAGTAAATCATAATTATTGATGAAATATTTTCATTGTTATGAGGCAAATCTCTCAACATTACATGTTTTCACCGTGCGGGTGCCGGCTCCATCGTAGTAGTGAGAGGAGCTTCAACAGTGCCTGGGATTTGCAACCCAGGTGTAGGTTTAAGAGCCCTTATCTATCTAACGCGCGTTAAACGCTCACCTCCACTGTCCAAGCTCCTCTCTCTACCTAAACATTACTACAGTAGAAATGCTATTAACTGGACTAATTGTCATTGATAGGCATTTGGATAATCGAAAATCCGGTTAAACAAATGTATAAAGACAAGACGTTTTTGTGCATATGTAGTACATAATATTATGTTTATTTAAAAAATAAATTACAATATGTATTTTGTGATTTGCAATTGGTAATCATGAATTAAAATAATAAGTATAATTTGGTATAGAATATTTGATAATTGTCATTTGACATATGCCACTCTCAACAACACCACTCTCTTACAATTTGACATTCTTTCTTGTCCGGACTTGTCCGCGAATCGCGAATCCGTATAACTGAGGGCCGGATAATCGAGTTTCTACTGTATAATGTTACGATTCTAGTACAAACTAATGTTTAATAAGTCAACTATGAATGAAATACTATGTACATATGTTCCATATATTATAATTACAGTACAAGCTGTGCAAAGTCCGTCATGTAGGTACCGGTCCCAAGAATGTACCTTACCTCGTGACGCATGACGGCCGCACCATCCGTTACCCAGACCCACTCATCAAGGTCAATGACTCCATCCAACTGGACATTGCCTCGTCTAAGATCATGGACTTCATCAAGTTTGAATCTGGTAAGTCTTCAAAAATGTTCAAATCACTCGGAATTATTAAATAATTGAAATACATGTAATGTGTCCCGATTTTGTCAACTTATACAAATTTAAGCTAAAATCTGTAAAAATGTGTGAATGTAATGGATAATTAATCTAATACAATTTTGAGAATAAAATATTTGTTGTTCAACACTTCAACAGTATTATTAACATTGTTGTTGATTGAGTTATATTGTTTGAAAAATCTAAGATGTACATCTTATATGAATAATTATGTGATATAAAAATATTATAAAAATTAAGTACTCTACTTTACTCCTTATTACTTTAAAAATCTGACAAAGAAAAGTTCCCTGAGAATGGGGTTTGTCATTTCATTGGTTAGCCCAAACAGACAAAAAATATATAAAAGGCATTATTTTTGTATGTGCATTGTGAATAACATATAGTAAAAAGTATTTATGTTGATATTGACTGAATTACTTGAGCATGATGAGATTAAAGATTGTTATCATTTTTGTAAATAGGTATAAATTCTTTCTACTAATAATATAAATGGGTTTATTTGTTTGTGGATGTATAGAGGTTTGTTGGTCTGACATACAAAAACTACCTATTATAGAATTTGATGACAATATATAATGTAGCATACACAAAACAACACAGGCTGTAATTTATAAAAGAATTCCGTATCACATAAAAGTTGTATTTTGCATGAACTTACACTACACTGACAATAGACGTCGCTTCTGGTTTACCATATTTATGGTTTTAATTTTAACATTATTCATACATATTGAGATTAAAAAATTTCGCGATTTTTATTAATTTAACTCGGCGGGAGGCGCGCCCCATATACCAACACTGACTGTCGCTACTGGGTAAAAAATACCACAATAATATTAATGTAAGAACTAGAGTTATTTTATGGATAATTAAATATAACCAATTTTTATATTATATTGTGTTACACTTTCAATTAAAAGACACTTGGAAACTAATAACGCTTGGTATAATATGTAATATTTGAAAAACATAGCCCAAAAGCTTAGCCATTTTGTGCATAAAACAAAATATTTGCTAGTGTGGCTGGAGGGCTCTTTCCTGTTGTTTATTCGGAATAATATTATTTTGGTCGCCATTACCACCAAGTAAAAGTATTATTTTATTTTTCATAAATATACTATATAGGCAGGTTTAAGATTGTAGATTTACACTTAATTTGTGGCAATACAAGAAACACAGCCAACACCTTCAAGTAATCTCACGATTTTCTTTATTAGTCGAACCGTCGAACATCTGTCGAAAGGTATCTAAAACGGCGCTGCACAAAATTACTTACAAAAATAAATATTTTCGAAAGTATGCACTATGTGGTAAATTTTACCCGGTAGCGCTTCCTGCCGAGTTAAATGAAACTAATATATTTTGGATATATACTACGCGGTTTATATTTGTAAAAAACTACATACTCCCGACGTTTCGGCTACTTTTCAGCCACCGTGATGTGTTATTTAAATTATTCATACAATTCTCATCCAAATTACAAAACTAGTATTATACATATATACTAATAATAATATTTATATAATAGTTATAATACTATTGGACAAGTACCAATGTGATTTTTCCGAAGTCACATTCATGTACTTTCTAAGAATATTTACACATCACTGATTAATGCATTCCCAAAAGGGGGTTGATGTCAGGCAGGCCGGTCGTAATAACAATTAGCCAAAACCATTCACAACATGTAAGGCAGACCCTGGCTATAGCCGGGAAATTGCCAGGTAGAAGAAGAAGAAGTTATAATACTATGAATGTTTCCAGGTAACCTGTGTATGATCACCGGAGGTCGTAACTTGGGTCGTGTGGGCACCATCGTGTCCCGTGAACGTCACCCCGGCTCCTTCGACATTGTACACATCAAGGACTCGATGGGACATACTTTTGCTACCAGGTATGTATTTAAAATTACTAGCAGTGGATAGAAATGTACATATACAGCTGTTTTGATTCAGTTCTGTTTGAAAATCTATAGGTTTTATTTATTATCAATAACAAAGTTATACATCCTGAATGTTTGTAAAAGTTCAGGCATTAAGTAGAAACATTCAAATACTTTATGTTTTGATACTATTTTGTTTGAAATTTTACTAGTGTTATATAAAGTACCTATGAATAAAATGTTGAACCAATAATTCAGTTTGCTTTTAATTGAAAAGTAAAATATAATTATAAAATAGTTAGAATAATTACTGTTCAAGGAATTCTCGAATTTTAAAAAGAAGTTACAAGAGTCAAGTATATTTGTTTTTCGTTAAATAAAAGTTAAATTGAATTATATAGAAATAAAATTAGATTGGAAACTAAGACAGCAATTAAGAAACAATATATCGTATTCTAAACCAGCTTGTGTTGATGGAGTGTTAATATTGCATTGTCTATTTCTATTATTTCAAGAGTTGATTAATAATAATTAACACCTTTGTTATTTTAATACAATTACACACAACTTACTATCCTTTCGAATTAATGAAAATATTTTTGCTATGAAACTCTTGTTTTACAATTTTTCTTCCTTTACCATTTTAAATGTAATTAAAATTTTCATTGTATAATAATTTTATCACGTAGTTAAAACCTTCATGGTTGTATATTAACCAATTTCTCTCCCGCCACAGATTGAACAACGTGTTCATAATCGGTAAAGGCACGAAGGCGTACATCTCCCTGCCACGCGGTAAGGGTATCCGCCTCACCATCGCCGAGGAGCGAGACAAGCGCATCGCAGCGAAGGTCGCCGCGCACTAGCTTTAACAATAAAAACATAAACCGATACAGAACTTTTATTACATATTTTAACTCAGGAATTAAATCTCAGCAATGATAGGCCTATCGAAGCAAACTAGTAGTATTTCACATAGCATCTCGGTTGCTGAAAAGTAACTGATCATCGGGACTATGTGTTATGTCATGTCATCAACCTATCAGAGCCCACTGCTGAGCAAAGGCTTCTTTCTCATATGTAGAAGAGCATTAATCACCACGCTTGCTCAAGATGATTGGTTGGTTGGTGATTTCAAACTTATAATTTGAAATTTCAAGTCCAGGTTTCCTCATGATGAATTCCTTCACCCTCTGCTTAGTAGTGCCTAAGTACTTTTAGAAAGTACACGACTCGGAAAAATCACATTGGTTGTTGCCAGGCTTCGAATCGGCACTCTCATGCACAACAGTTGGGCCGTTAACCTATAGGCAAACACACTAAAAAAAAATCGAATTTCCTTATGGATGTATATAGGTTACATTATGATCTGAATTATTTATTTCTTGTTTGACAACAGCTCCTGTAGAATGATGACGTTATGTAGTTTTAAGTTGCAACATTTGTTATTTCAATAATACAGATTTTTAAATTGAAATTTAAATATACTAGTAGTATTTCACATTGCTTCTCGGTTGGTGAAAAGTAACCGAATCATCGGGAGTACGTATGTAGTTAAAAATTATTATAAGCGCGTAATAAATCCGAAAATACAGGTTTTAAATAAATGTATACTCTCTAAATTCTTAGATTTCATTACATCTATAAAGGCGAATTGATTAATAATAATTTGTATCATATGAACAAAAAAAACGATCTAAGTTCTGACTTAAATACATAGTTACTTAAAATACATTCTAATTTTTGTACTATCGATATATTTGTGACTGACTTTTATTTTTTTGAGCTAAGCTAAAAAAGTATAATTCCTAAAAAATTTATTATTTTTTTGAAATTTGAAGTGAAACTTAAAATATGCTTGGGGGGGGGGAGGGGAGTGGGTAAAACGAGAGATCGAGAGGGAATGTGGAGCACTCAAACATTATATATACTTTTAACTGCTTAATACTGGTACTTTCATCATAAAACATTTTATTTATAATTTATCAGTGATATAATGTTTGTACATTATTAACATTTAGTATCTTTTCATTTACTGTAGGTAGCACTTGAAAAATATCATTTAAAGTATATAGGCAATCGTAATATTACAATTAATCAGATTGAGGAAAGAAATCTTCGATATAAAAAATCAAATGGGACATTTCAATTAGGGGTTACAGTGTAGGGTTACGAATAAAATGACTAAAAATAAATCAAACATCAAAGGATTAAAAGGCTTCATTGCTATTTATTGGCGTATAATATATTATTAATCCTTACAATTAATTATTCGTCACTGTATAAATTAATGACAGCTTTGTAAAATAAATAAATCTTAAAGTGATATCTTAATACATAGGTACTTATAGTCCGTTAGACTTAAGCTGAGCTTTACATTTGTGTGAGTGAAAGTAAAAGTAGAGTTAGAAAAAAAACTTTTAGAATTCAATTTATTATATTTTAAATACATCAATAATAAGTGCTAGATCTATTCCAGATTAAAAATGAAATAAGCAATACTTGTAAAAGGCCAAATGGAAATATTATAGAAAAAAAATGTAGTAATAAAAATTTTGAAAAAACAATACAAATTTTTCTTCACTTGGCATTGCGTTTTCAACATATTTTTTTTGTGCGCACTGGGAAAATATGCTTTCCGCATCCCCTCTCCGTCCCCCGACGGGACTCCCCGGGAAAAGGATTCCCGGTATACCCACTAAAACAACCCAGTGGCGCTCCGACCTCGCCTGACTGACAGGGGGGTGGGAATCCTGTTGCATCCAGCCCCCCGCTGGGGATGGGAATCCGGTTGCGCCCAGTACAAAGGGTGAAGTGAGGAAGGTGCGGGGCGGAGTAAAAGCAGAATAAACTAGTTCAAAACTAGAAAAAAACGTTTCATTTAAAAATTTGACATCACACCTACACCATCAGTGTGCACTCACAAATGCAAAGCTCAGCTTAAATTAAACGCACTATACTTATTTAACCATTGAAATGACTGTTTTGCTTTCAAATTTATAGAATAGAAAAAATAAAGCTATAACTATCAAAAAAATTAAACCATCAAATCAATTTTAATATCCCTAAGTAAAGAAAGTCACAAGAGACAACAGTCACACGAATAAAACTAATCGCACTATATTTTCGAACTTTATAATTTTAAAATCCAACATTTTACATCACCAAGCTTCTGCTTAGGATTTTAATGCTATGTCAGGAGTCTGGATATTTGAGTTTCATCTTTAAATACTAGTTTCACTGATTGTTTCCACAACATTTCCGAGCATTTATCAAGATCATTCCATTTAGGTGGCGACTTTAATTCACAATTATCGAATATTTGGCCACTTACTTCACCAGATTTTTCCTCTATTGCCATATAAATAGGGGTCTGGGCACCTTCCCATGGATTTTTAAACAATATATTTATAAGAATTTGATATATTTTACCAGTGTTGGTAAAATAACTTTTGATTATTTTTGTTGATACGAATCCAGGATCAGCGCAGTTTATAATCACGTTTTTACCAGCAATCTTTTTTGTTAATTCATGGGAGAACAACACTAAACTTAGTTTACTGTTTGCGTAAATTCTTAACAAATTCCAATAACCAGTTCTGTTGTAATTATCAATATCAAAACTGCCAATAAAGTGTGTAATCGAGGACATGTTTATTATTCTGCTAGGTTCCAATTTTGTCCCAGATTTTATCAAAAGTGGTAACAGCAGAAGAGTTAAGAGGAAATGACCATAATAATTAACTTGCATAATAAAATTCATTCCGTCATCAGTCTTAAAGTCTCCTGGTAGTCCGACGCCCGCGTTATTCACCAAGATATGCAATTTTAGCTCAGATTCATTAATATCTGCTGCGAATTTACGGATTGATTCTAATGAAGCAAGATCCAGGAATTTATAGACAACATCATAATTTCCAGTTTTTTTGATAATTTCTTTACGTGCTTTAATTCCTTCATCTTCAAAGGGACTGGCGATTATAACTCTTGCACCTCTTGTAGCAAAGTCCAATGCTATTTGTTGTCCGATCCCTGCAGTACCACCCGTTATGACAGCTGTTTTCTCCATTAATTTTTGTTTTGATGTACAGATTGCGTTGTGATTTCGACGCACAGCTCTATGTACCATAATAAGTATTGTTATAACCGATAAGAATATTAAAAACAAAAACATGTTATGTTAAGACGAGTAATAGAATAATAATTTATATAAACTATAACTGCTGAGGCCTTCGTTTCAATAATTCAAATAAATGCAACAGATGTATTGATGTATATATCACTACTAGTAAAATTATAACATCGTTGCGAGAAGAACACTTCTATTTAATATTTTTATAGAATAAGCGTTGTCGGATATCTTAAATCCTACATAAGACAATCAGTTGTTGATATTGGAAACAGGTGTGCAACGAATAATTATCATTAGTATCTGGGTTCATGATTGTTTCATTATTTAGACGCTATCAAATACTTTAACAGATATTGCGGTCTATGATATGTGGATAAGAGCCATCTTTATTCATAAAACATGAATACGCTACTACGATAATTGTTATTATCATGAGTTTGAATATCTTTTATATATTATCCTTTTTACATATCCCTCATTACAAGTAGATTTTTGTGTCAAACATATCTCTCTTCTTGTTTTCGTACATAGTTTTAAAGTCTACTTTGATCCGTGATTTTTTTGGATGTCAAACTTGAAAAGTTTTTGTTTAACTATTATTATTATATCCACTGTCCACCTCAACGACATTATCTTTGAGCAACTAATATATTAAAAATCCAGTGGTACCTTGGGATTGTAGGTGTTTCTCGGTAAACTATTGGCCTCTACGGAATTCCAATAAACTGCTGGTTGAAGGAGTCTCAGCCACCCTTTTTCACACCGTTACTGCGCCCTATAGCATGACAAGGAATAAGGTGTTTTCAGACAATCAGGGAAAGGAATAAGTTTTCTCTCATAAGGGGATATTGCTTTAGTGACCATTTTAGACTGGATATTTAGTCGTCGCAGTTACTGGAATATTTGTTGTTTTCGGCCTTTGTTTGGTAGGTTAGGTGACAGAAATCAGTCACTGGACTTTTTTCGTTATCCATATACAGTATGGACAATGAGTTGGTGAATGCTGCTACCACAAGAATTTGATTCTTGCGTGAATTGAATCAATTCATAACAAATAAAGTGATACTTTTTCAAAAAATTTATTGCTCTATGTCGTATATTATTGTTTCAGGTAAGATGTTTAATTTTCAGTTTAAGTTATGAGTTTATTTGTTTCTCAATAACATTTACTAAATTAATGATATTAATAGATTTAAATTTGTGTGTTATATGCAATATTATTTAAAACTAGCTGACCCGGCGAAATTCGTACCGCCAGCTATAATCAAGAAATATTTGTTACCATGTTATCTGAATGAAGTTATTTTCTTTATTAAGTATTACTGACCTGACTGACAATTTTCTGGTTTCTTAAATGTGATTATTGAATTTTAATCGATATATGTAACTAATAATTATTTTATATAAGTTTTAGTTCGATTTATCAATTACTTTTTGTGGACATGAGCAGATCGCACATTACTTCTATCCCTATCACACTCATAATTAAAGGATCTATGAGATCTGGCGGCCCTAACAAGGATAATGGGAAATTGTTAACGAATTATTGCATTGTCATTGGTCCATGAGACATAAGCAAAGTTTCAAGTTAATCAGATGTTTAGAAACCGGTAAATATCGTGCTCAAAGATTCCGTTACATACATACAGCTCAAGCTACTATAAGCGTGTTAACAAAGTGTTTATTATTCTAATGCTTTATTCTAACTACCTGAATATTTCTGCGAGTGACACATTATTTTATAGTTTTTTTTTTCTAATAACTTCAATATTTTTTTTCTTACATAAGAACCTTCTCCTAATTATAACAAATATAACAAAAAAATAATCAGTGAAATCGGTCCAGCCATTCACGCGTGATGCCGTGCCCAAGGGAAAAAGGGATTCATTTCTTTATATGTATATAGATTTGCGAAGATTTCATTTAGTGAGCATATTTATAAATTTAAAATTACCCGTTACATTATATTTCATTCAAAATCAATTTCCATTTATTCTGAACAAGACTATTATATTTATTTGATTTATACTACCTAAGTTTTATATTTTGTTGCGTGCAATACGCATTAGTATAAAAGTTTTTAAATTTTCTATCAATTGATGTATAATTTGAAAAAGTCCATTAGATGAGACGATTAGTTTTTCATAGCTTTCACATTAACACCAAGTGATAAGAAGTATGTAAGACTGAAATAGAATTACGAGTATATTTTTCTTCTACTGCACCTTGTCTTAATACTATGTAAGTTTAATAGTTTATTAAGGAATACATTAAAAAAATATGTATTTTCAAATTTTATTTTTATTTCATTGGATGAAATATTTTTTTATACATAATAAGTTAACTACCTCTTAAATACATAACAGCAAGTTAGCGATGTATCAACATTTTTATTTGTGATAACATAATAAGATAACACTAAAGAACAATTATATATTCAAGATAAATTTAACTATTTACACTGTCTCTAAGTTGCTTAATAAATTGATGTCAATCCTTTGGGAGAAGTCTTGATATTTCTTTTTCATCTTTAAACACTAATTCCGCTGATTGTTTCCATAACATTTCCGAATATTTATCAATGTCATTCCAAGTCAGAGGAGAGGTTAATTCACAATTATTGAACACTTGTCCGCTAACTTCGCCAGCTTTTTGATCCACCGCCATATAAACTGCCGTTTGAGCACCTTCCCATGCACTTTTAAAGAATATTTTTATAACAACTTGACACATTTTGCCGGCGTAAGGGAAATAACTTTTAAAAATTTTCGTGGAAACGCATCCAGGATCGGCACAATTTATAACTACATTTCTATCAGCAATTTTTTTCGTCAGTTCATGCGAGAATAACACTAAACTTAGTTTACTGTTACAATAAGTTTTAAAACTATTCCAATATTTAGTTCTGTTGTAATTATCTATATCAAAACTTCCAATAAAGCGTGTAATCGAGGACATGTTTATTATTCTGCTTGGTTCCAATTTTGTTCCAGATTTTATCAAAAGTGGTAACAGGAGAAGAGTTAAGAGGAAATGACCATAATAATTAACTTGCAAAACTAAATTCATTCCGTCATCGGTCTGAACCTCTCCGGGTATTCCAATACCGGCATTATTCACCAAGATATGTAGTTCTTTCTCCGATTCATTAATATCTGCTGCGAATTTCCTGACAGACTTTAATGAAGCAAGGTCTAGGAACTTATAGACAACATCCTCATTTCCAGATTTTCTGATAATTCTATTACGTGCTTTAATTCCTTCATCTTCAAAGGGACTGGCGATTATAACTCTTGCACCTCTTGCAGCGAAGTCCAATGCAATTTCTTGTCCGATCCCTGCTGTACCACCCGTTATGACAGTTGTCTGCCCCTTTAGTTTCTTTCTAGATTTACAGATTGAGTTGTGTCTCCTGCATACCGCTCTATATAAAATAATTGTTGTAACAATTATTAAAAATAAAACAAGTAGAAACATGTTTCTGCTAAGACGAGTAACGAAGTAATAATTTTACTGTATTGACTGAAACAGTTTTAAAGCACATTTGACTTCTTGAAGATCCAAGGCAAACCACGTTTGGGTTAAAATAATGAGGTGATTAATGTATCAATAAAAAATATTTACGGTTTTTTTATGAAAAGGCATTATTTTTTTACTTGTTTTTCCAAGACTTTATATTACACAAACACGATAATTGAATGAAACGATAATTTTCGTAAATTTAATCATGCCTATAAATCTTTATTCAATTAAGAATATTTTCAATAATTTTAAGATCGAACGTCACTTACACAGCCTTTTCTAATGAGACCGTCAATTATTATTTAACGTTTTATTACCTAAAAACTAAATCTGATGGTATATTAGCTCATACGGCGAAGGAGAAAGAATCACTGCTCGCTTACTTTTTTGTCCAAAATGCACGTTTTGGGAACGGCAATCTCACACCATTTCGCTTACCTTACTGCGTTTCCTTTATAATAATTTTCTGCATTCGAAAAGTTTTGTATTTTTAACATAAACAAAGCTAGTGGCTCAGATGGTATTCCAGTCATAGTTTAAAAACATATGCACCCGAGCTGCCTCGTGTTTTGATACCATTGTACCTTTTCTTTTAAGTAACTGGCATAGTACTTAAATCTTGGAATTTTGCCACCCTGGACTCTATGCCGAATAATTGAAGCCCTGTAGGTCCTGTTAATTATCGTTCAGGTTCAAATCCTCCATAATCTATAATATTATGTAGGTTACTACCCCTTATGGCATACCTAGAAGAAAAGGGTCGTCTAAGTGACCGACAATATGGGTTTTAAAGAAATCGGATAACTCGGTGTCTTCTGGTACACGCCAAACATTTAAGGGGGAAAAACGGTAAAGCTTTCACAGCTGTATGCGGCATCTTAAAAGCTTGCAAAGGGGTCTGGTATGATATTTCTAGCTATGGCATATTCCCTTGTCTAATTTCTGACTATCTGAGAAACCGTTACCTTTGCTTCGTTATAATACTCTGCCTAATTTCAGTTATTAAATATTGCGGCATCTTCAAAGCCTCACTTTGTGCCGTGTTTTAAGTCCAAAGCTAAGTCAGTTGCAATAAGAGATTGCTCCTTTCTCATTCATCTACAGTTTTCCTACGTCTGTGTTTTCTTCGAATTCTAATTTGGGCTTTATAAAGAACAGGGTGAAAGAACTAGCTGATACTGAGATAGTGCATTCACAAAGTACAAAACGATAATCCGTTGACTGAAAGTTTCACGTTGCCAATATCGCAAAAGGATAAAAGTTAAAGTTATTTAAATGTTTTTGTTAGGCATACATATAAAGCTCTTGTTGTGCTTAAATATTTGGTCATTTTGTTGATGAGTGGAGGATTCATAAATTTTACCTGCCAATAAAATAATTTTTATACCATCAAAATTCAAATAATCATCTTAGATATTGTTTATTTTTTTAAGGATAGCGAAGGTTTCATGAAAAATGGTGGAATAATTTCAATAAAAAATAATACAATTTACCTAATGTATTAGTCTTAAGAATTAGTATCAAAGAGAATTTTAGTAACAAAACAAACATCAGTCACAGAAGAAAACCATTTAGCCTATACATTTAACGTTATTTAAAAAAATTAAAAATAAACGTTACATTGATGAAAACTTTATTTTATAACATTGTAGCTTTGTATAACGATATTAATTTTATATAAAACAAGATATTAACTTTAGTAGTCGTTAAAATAAAACATTTTATAGTTCCGACATTATAAATAATTTATTTTATGTGGAACAATTAAAACACTATAATATTTAATAAATTACATGTTAATAAAAGTGCTCCTTGTTGATATCTAGAATTGTGACATAAATATACATTGGTAATTGTTTTAAGAACATAATTATTCAGTGTACAGATTTCCAAAGACGAAAATTTGCTAAGCTCAAAAGACTACACATTCTTCTATAGGTAATAGTAATTCGTATTTACTGTGACGATGGAAATTAGAAATATAATGGAATAGAAGATAGAAGAATAGAAGCATGAATGGGTGTTCATAACTGCAACTCCTTCTAGTAAGAGAGGATTAGTAAAAATATTAATAGTTATATATTTTTTTGTTTTTACAGGATCATTAAAAACCTATCGAGGTAATAAGCTTCTATTTTATTCCACAAGCTACGTTCCATTGTACAAAATATAGAAAACCATTACATACATATAACGGCATGACCTACTTTTGAACTGTAGATTTTTTAAATGACAGTACAAAAACTGCATTGCTAGAGAAGTGCTTTAAATAGTTTCGAATTTCCTGCCTATCCAAATTAATCTTTCATATAATATGCTTAATCTCATGAAATTAAAAAACACTCCAATTTCAATAGAGAATATGACTGGAATCTTTCAAACACCTGGGATCCTCGTCTTAATAATATAAAATCCCATGTCCGTGACCACACCGCAGGACCTCGAGACACCGTGAGCGCATTCTGCTGGCATCCAGAGCGGTACGCAAGAAGATTAAAAAATCGATGGTGGTAGGTGATAAAATAACAAGACTGACTGACAGACACTCACATCTCGTCTGCCCGTGATCACTGTTGCTGTGAAAGAAATACGAAACGTCGATAGAATGTATTTCAATTTTATCAAATCATGCTTTAAAGCTCATGATAGTAGATATAATATTAGAGTCCACTTTTTTTAAAATGCCTATTAGTTTTTTGATCATCATAATTCATTTTTTTTTTTGGAAGCAAATAAAATTACAGGAAATAATATATTTAAAAATATACTTATTTTTTGTTTTATCTTCCCCAAAATATAACCACTTTTTTTGCTTTGACGGATTTGAATAAATTTGATGCTATATAATTCGTTTAATTTTGAAAAATTATTTTAAGATAAAAAATGCGAATAGATTTTTATTATGGTGCTTTTAAATATTCTTTCAAATATTTTGACTAAAATGTATATTTTTAAATTGTTCTTCAACGAACATTTGTTAAAAATGCTTCTAAAAGAGATTGTCAGCTCAATAGAAAAACTTAAAGGTAATATATATGGAAAAATCATACTCGCAAGAGAAATCATTTTATATGGTTAAGCAACTTTATTTTTATACGAGTTTAAAACATCAACAGTTTTAGTACTAAAAAAATAGGTAAAAACACTTTTTAAGTTAAACGGTTTTACGTGAAACATACATTGCAATGTTTAAGATAAATGTACTAAAAACCAAAAAATAATAAAATAGATACAGCCGTGGGAATTATAAACCTATGCCCAGACTAGATTAAAATAAAACCGTGGGGCACGTCAATTGTCTACAAATTATCGACTTAATGTGCGATAGAAGAATCGTTTAATTCGTCGTTAGGCAGTTGGCCCGCAGACGGTGAGGAAATTACTTACTATTTTCTTGCCCATGGAAATTAGAACTGCCTAATTATAGTGTAACATTACAAAACAAACATTTTAATCAACGATTGTATTCTACTGGTTGAGCACTTTCATTTGATACCCATATTGATGGGATTGATAAAACCTACGTTATCCGCCATTTTGTAGCGGCCGCCATCTTGGATTTCAATTTTTTATAGTATACTAGTTGACCCGGCGAACTTCGTACCGCCTTATAATCAAGATATCATCAAAAAATAAAATAAAATTGAAAAAAAATAAAGTTTTTAATTAACAAATAAAAAATAAGGGTTGATCTCAGATTGGTGAAAATTAAGGGTTGTATGTATTTTTGTAGGCTGCGTCATAAAAAATAAAAACAAAAAATTTTGCCTAAAAAATAAAAACAAAAATTTAGGGGTGGACTACCCTTAACATTTAGGGGGATGAAAAATAGATGTTGGCCGATTCTCCCCCCTGGTTAGTATCCTCGATAAGGATCACGAAAATCGTTCGAGCCGTTTCGGAGGAGTTCAAGTTCGAACACCGTGACACGAGAATTTTATATATTAGATTGTATTCTGCTTGTTGAGCCCTTTCATTTGAATTACCCATATTGATGAGATTAATAAAACATAAATTGTCCGCCATTTTGTAGCGGCGGACATCTTAAATTTATAATGAAAATGAATAAATATAATTGTATTGTCACCAAAATCCAAAGTGTATACAAAATTTCAGATTAATCGGTTGACAGGAAGAGGGTGAAATTTGAATTACTAAATTTGACCCAAGAATAAAGAATAAATAATATAATAAAAACAAACGGGGTGAGCTAAATAAAACCGTTTAAAAAACATATCAATCACGAATATATGGTGAAAAGAATCGAATTAGCAAAGAAAATTGTGTCGAAAATATACAATAGACAATATCATGCATATACCACTAAAATTACTGTTAGGAAACAAATGAAAAGAAAAAAACGTATAGATTTTTACTATGTACAATTTTAGATTTTTGTTAATGTTAGAATGAAAACAAGAAGGGGTAGGAATTGATTTTATTGGAATTTTTAGTGTTTCTTTAAGACAACCTTTATTTACATTACTTACAAATAACAATTGACTGCCTTTTTTTGACTGTAGCTGTTAGCCCTAATTGCTTTGACAGCGTTACCAGAAAGGGTGGTTGGCGCGATGAGATCAACCCATTATAATTAGGGCCCGACGAGGGATATGTTTTAAGAGGCCGGACCTCGCCTTTGTCGGCGAAGCATAGTGGGACAATCGCATATGTTTCGTCTCAAAACTCCGTATCTCAGTTATTACAAAACCGAATGATCTATAATTTCGCACACATATAGATACGTGAAAGGAAGGCTTAATATAAAAAATAATAATTTTGAAAATTATGTTTATGAATTTATTTAAAAAATAAAAATATATTTAAATATGTTTTGGCACCGTATCAGACAATTCGCAAATATGCGCAACTTTTTTTTCTCCTTGTGTAAACTAATGTATAAAGATCGTAATACAACAAATATCTCGACATCCTCAAACCGCGGTAAACGGGTAAGTCTCGTTAAAAAAAAGTAAGCCGAAAATTATACCATTTCAACTATGATGGTTAGTTTTAATTAATTTATTTATTATACATAATATTATTAAGAAAAAACTTTATTAGGAGATTACAAGCATTTCAAAAATGTATAATACTTATACATTTATATAAAAAACTTTCGAGTAATGTGATGTTAAATTGTAGTAATGTATGGGGACAAAATCACACCACTGAACATGAGTTAACTTTGATGCCTTTTAATATATATTATGGTTTGCAAAAACTAATAAAAAAAATATAGAAAAGAAAGCTTATTTACAAGACTATATTAATTAATTAGCTTTACTCCATAACAACGACTTTCATGTTTTGGGGTTTTGAGACGGCTTTCCCACTGTGCGAAGGCCGTTTATGTTTGTGTGGTTTAGTGTAATGGGAGTAATTGTGTCTGTGTTGTCTGTTGTTATCTTATTGCCAGGATCTAAGAGCACATCTTTAGGAATCCTCTTTCCTATAAGGTATTGATTGCTCACTTATGTTCAAGCGATACGCATTCCCGCTCACTCTATCTCTTTTTATTTAACAGTACAACCTTATTGGAAGTCTAATTTGAAGTTTCGCTTCCATTGTATGGAATTTTCTGTGTGCATATCTTTGTATCGTCTTAAATAATTACCTAAATTGACTTGACATTTAATCGAAATCGTGTGGCTCTTTCTCTAAGTAAACAGTTTTTGTAATCATATACATATTTTTAATAAATTTAAATGCATTCATAGAGTTACGTCAATGGTCTGATATGTCGAGAATGCATAGAGGTCAAAATGTAATAATGTTATTTTCAACACAAGTTTTTTCCTAATTTTTTATATGCTGAAATTGAGTTAAAAAAAAACGAATAATTTGTTACCTTAATGTTTTAATATAAAAACTATCAATTAAATAAACCAAGATTTAATATAACCTTCCCACACTAGCCACGTTACTTGAATTATAAATATAAATTATTTCACTTTGTAGTTTTGGGTTGTTACTAACATATTTATAAAAAATTAAATAAATCTAAAAATATATATGTTTATTTTAATGAATAATCTATTTTATATTAAAAGTTTTAACATTCTTCAAGTTCTGTAAGTTATATAACATTTTAAAGGAATATGTGAAAAAATAATCAAATATATTTAAAATCACATTAAGATTGATGCTGTTATAAAATGAGCAAAATATTAACTTTAATTAAAAGACGTCATTCGAATGTAGACGTCACATGTATTGAACTAATCAGAATTTCAAATGACAAAGACAAAAGAATGTATTTATTTTGATCTCTGATATCTAACAACAACTAAACCATTGTCATTGAACTTTGCTGTAAATATTATGAGAGAATTTTCGATATTTCTTTTTCATCTATTGACACTAATTTCACTGATTGTTTCCACAATTTTTCCGACAGTTTATCAATGTCATTCCACATAGAAGACGAGTTCATTTCACAGTTGCTGAAAATTTGTCCACTAACTTTACCAGCTTCTTGATCCACTGCCATATGTATAGCTGTTTGAGCTCCTTCCCATGTGTTCTTGCAGATCAAATTGATAAGAACTCTAGCAATTTTACCGAGGAAATTGACATAGCTCTCATAAATTTTTGTGGATGCGAAGCCAGGATCAGCGCAATTTATGACCACATGTTGACCAGCAATCTTTTTTGTTAATTCATGTGAGAACAACACTAAACTTAGTTTACTGTTTGAGTAAATTCGTAATAAATTCCAATATCCAGTTCTGTTGTAATTATCTACATCAAAACTGGCAATAAAACGCGTAAGTGAAGACATATTAATTATTCTGCTCGGCTCTAATTGCGTTCCAGTTTTTTTCAATAGCGGTAAAAGGAGCAGAGTTAAGAGGAAATGACCATAATAATTAACTTGCATAATAAAATTCATTCCATCATCAGTCTTAAAGTCTCCGGGTATTCCGACGCCCGCGTTATTCACCAAGATATGCAATTTTTGCTCCGATTCATGAATATCTGCTGCAAATTTACGGATTGATTGTATTGAAGCTAGATCCAGATACTTATAGACAACATCCTCATTGCCAGTTTTCTTAATAATTTCTTTACGTGCTTTATTTCCTTCATCTTCAAAGGGACTGGCGATTATAACTCTTGCACCTCTTGTAGCAAAGTCCAATGCAATTTCTTGTCCAATCCCGGCAGTACCACCTGTTATGACAGCTATTTTCTCCGTTAATTTCTGTTTCGATGTACAGATTGCATTGTGTTTCCTGCTCACTGCTCTATTTATAATAAAAAAAATAACCACTGTTAAAACTAAAATTAAAATAAGTACCAACATGTTTATTCTTAGGCGACTAACAAAATAATAATCTTATTATATAACTGAAACTCAACTTTACTGAGACCTTCGTTCCAATTATTTTGATTGAAGTAATCTGACGGGTTGATAATACAAGGTGAACATGATTGGTTGGGTGTTTAATTTTAAAATGGCCGTCTGATTCACATGTTTTAATGCGTATTTTTGCGAAGTTATTGAAATTGGAAACATCTTCTTTTTAAAGTCTTCATTAGGACTCAAAGAAGTATTTGCATGTTCTGTGGTGACGATAAAATTGTTATATACATAAATTTAAGTAAGTATGAAATACAGTTTCATTCCGATTGTAAGGACTAGCTTTGTTATAAACTCGATTTTTTTTTTGCTGTTGTCTGGTTATAAACATTACAGATGACTTTAGTGGCGCATGAGTTTAACACCTCATATTTAATTTGGTCGCGGCGATGTGAGGGGTCTATAACTTGAACCAGTAAATTCTTCATTAAACTTTTACTATAACAAGAATATGTATAGCAATTTAAATTAATAAGTAACACCAAGTGATACTCTGATATAAAAATATGCAGTAGTCAAACTAAATTTGACCTGTACCTCGTAGTTGTCATGTGTCACACAGTGATTGTGAGGTTATCGGGGATCCCATCTTAATTCCTGTCCAAAATACAGCTTAAAAATAAATATACCTCTTCTCGTATTCGTGAAAATTTTATTATGTGGACAGCTTCAGACTTTATATTTAACTTTTAACACAACTTGTTTCACATCCATTTGAATTCCCGAAGTTATACCAATGGATTTTAGCTTCCTCCTTGTAAGACCGTCTGATCTTGTAATCTGATCATCTTTAAATAGGCTACTTTAATTTTAGTCTCAAGAGGATTACACTACTTACTGCTTTATAAAAAATAAAAATTAGTCCCCAATTATATTATCCAAAAGAAGAGAGCACTTGTGTAGAATACAGTAAATAGACCAGTCGTGCATTCGTGATTTTAAAACGCATCAGTTTAATGGCACATCTCTACATATGTAGTTAATATAATAAATATAAACAAATCTGTTATGCACATAGATTATCGAGTTATTTAGTTTTGATTGAGAGACTCAAATATTTGGAATGTCTTTTTTTCGAAGGATACCATAAAACTGTTATTGTTTTATAATATTCTTCCACAATATTTTTCATTTACATTTAAAATAACAATGTCATGATTAATTGCATTTGTAACCTCGAAGTTCATTATACTGACATTAGGGTCGCAATAAAAACAAATTCTTTATTGGAGGTTAAAAAAACACATAAAGGTAATTAAAATTATGTTCTTTATATACAAAAATAAATATATTCTAATAATTTTACTAAATTACGAACATAATGATTGTGACTTAGTTTTGAAAGGGTTGTGTTATCACAATTAAGTGCTCATGATTTTATAGTTTTGTACCAATAACTCGTATCAATATTACATATATTTACATTCTAATTAAATTAATTGTGGTAAATATCTGAATACCTAACCCAAAGACAACTTTATTACTTAGAGAAAAATATGTGACTTACAATAATAACCTTTTAATTATTTATCTTACATATTAAGGACTATTTTGAGTTAATTTTTTGATAAATCTACAAATATTTATTTGCAGAACTTTCATTATATTAGTCTTTGACAAGAATGATTTAAAAATAAATATTAATGCTTAATTTTTAATATAAAACCAATTATAGAAGTCTATTGAGTATTTAATATGTGTTATTTTGATAAAAAATAATTATCCGTATTATGATTAAAGGATTAGGAAAAGGTAAAGCTTTTCCTAATCCTCTTAGTTACAATTTAACTAAATCTATGTAAGACCAATGTCTCATATAATAAAACAAAACATATATTTCAATTATACTGTAGGAACGGTTTTTGACAATGTTTATTTTAAATATGGTTAAACCGTCTTATTGGCAACAGGAGGCATGTAAAACATTGCTAGATACAGACATTCTAAGGTATAAAGAAACAGAGACTAATGTAATTTTAAGATTAAGAAATTTGAGTAGGAACAAATGCTTGCTATATGACCTTCTCTGTTTTGTATGGTAAAAATTTTAATTTGATCTATAATATCTAACAATATGTATCTAAACATGTTTATCACTTGTAATGGCAGTGTGTGCATAGCACGACTATTTTATTATATAGTTATTCGTTTGTTTCGGTCACGTGGAGTAGAGAGGCTCGGAATACATACGAGGCGGTGTTTCTCTGGTCAGGGCTGAACGCATTCGACGTTTGGCTTGAAGAAAAAAAAATACATATATATTTGGAAAAAGAATTAAAATATTATTAAAACTGCTGTAATTTGTATAATTTTTAATTGGACAAAAAAGATACATATAATATCCGTGTACTTGAACTATATACATACCATGAGAATGCATACAACACAGCACAAGTGTGGCCACGAAAGCAGCAATTGGTAACATCGCTGCGACCGCAAGGAGTGCAGTTTGAGCGGGTGCTGGAGCAGCGCGCGTGGCCCCACACCAGGTGATATTGTGAACTTTGTAAGTCTGAAGAATATCCTGGAATTCTGTTCCCAGGGTGCGAATGGTGGCCTTCATCGCTTTAGGAGTGAGCGCCTCTCCGGTTTCCATTTTACGGAACTGGAAACATGGTCTGAAATAAATAGGAAAATGTGTTACAATTACATTACAAACCAGTTTAAGAAGTTTGTAATAATAACTAAGAAAATTAAGAATAATTAATTTATACATTAAAATACAATACACTATTTAAATACAATAATTCTTAATATAATATGATAAGCATATTCTTAAAAATCAACTAACTTTTAAACGCCTGCACTTTTCCTATACAGATCTGGCTAATTTTAATAACATGTAAAATTTCTTATCTTCAAAAACTTATTAGGTATATCGAATATGATACACATACCCAAGATTATCATATACGTCATGTCTCGGTGCTTCATGTAATTGTAATTTAAGCCGCTGTGGTGCGATCGCAGCCGACATTCGTTCCTTTAGTCCCGCGACCTGCGCACGCGCACCCCGACTGTCTCCGCCCAGAACCAGACGAAGGAGATCACGCTCCCGTACAACTACCACCTGTCATGACAAGATTTTAAATATGAATACTTGACGTCATAATTATTTAAAATGAGGGTAGTTGTATAAAATCTTTGTATTTAAAACACTATAATATTAATGACATTATACTTTTAAATTGGTTAATGCAATTACTATAGAACATCTCGTCTGCCCGTGATCACGGTTGCTGTAAAGTAACCGAAACGTCGCATCGGGAGTATGTACTTAATAGTCAAAAATAAAAACGCGTAGTAAATTCGAAAATATTACTTTCATTTAAATGGCTACTCTAAAATCTAAGATCTCCTTATTCTAGAATATCTAAATGTTTACAAACAAGAAATAAATTTGATAAGTATAATATTACCTCCACTTGTAAATCACTAAAACGATCAGTTTCATTGGAGTTGTTGGCTCGAACGACAAGGCTGAAATAAACACGTATATTAGTTTCAGAAAACTTTTGAATACTTCAAATCTTTAAAAAAACTTCTTACCTAAATATTCCGTCAGCAAAATGTATTAAGTTTCTCATAATTTTTAATTCTCCTGTCACATTATTTATGACTATAACATCGGATGTGTTATTCGATGATTTTGATTTAATTGGTGAAACGAAACTCATGTTAACTATTGCGTAGTTTATTGGTAACGCTTCTGGGTCCTTATCCTTGGCTTTTACTGTTGCAATGACAGTATCAACGGCGACGTTTAGACGAACACCTATCGTCATGTTTGAACTCTCGAATTCAGGAAGATGATCGTCTATATCCAGAATTTTGATCACTACTTGTATTTCCGATGCATCCTTAAATAAAAATAAATTTTATTATATTTAGTCAGTCGTAGCCTAGTGGTTAAAAGGCCCGCCTCTCGTTACCGAGGACGCGTGTTCGATCCTCGCAAGTACCAATGTGATTTTTCCGAGTTATATGTACTTTCTAAGAGTATTTAGACATCACTGATTAATGCGGATTCCCAAAGTGGGTTGAGGTCAGCAGGCGGCCGGTCGTAAAAACAAATAGCATAAACTATTCACAACATGTAAGACAGACCCTGGCCATAGCTGGGAAATTGCCAGGTAGAAGGCTCAGTGATATTTTAATGTGATATGAAAGTAATATATACCAAACGATTGTAATCCTTGTTAATGCGTGGTTTTGTATCGTATTTGAAACATTTGACTGTTAAAAGTAGTCTAGACACAGCCTCACGGTCGAGTCTTCCTGATGCCACAATGTTAGCTTTATTGTCCTTTGTTCGTTGTAAATTCACCATTTCCAACTCGTTGCCAGCTAAAAAAATTGTATAGAAAATTACCCAGACTATAATATGCAATATCATTGCTACATTTGTGATTAGTACATAATTAAATTAAACACAATGTTATTATAATTAATTAATATTGTATATTTATGCAGTAATAAATCCAAAGAAATGTAAACTACCATCAGGAAATTGTGTCTCAATTTTACTACCTGTAGAATACTAGTCATCGAATAATACATTGGTGGTGACTATCCTTTAGATCACAAATTATTCCATTTAATACTGATTGAAATAAAACGTATTTTTGAACCAACAAGAAAAACCTAATAATAAAAAAATAGGTATATTTAAGTTAAGAAGATATTATAAGGTTGTGATGAATGTTTAAAGCTTAGTTTAAGGCTTACAGTATGTAGTCTTAATCTTTCGTATATAAAAACCATGATGTATGAATAGGTTTTTAAATAGACCTGGCGGTATAGTAATCATGAACTTCCAACACACTGTATTTAATAAAATAGATTACCCGTTATAACATAGTCTATGGCTGCATTATCTCCTATATCTTCGTCAATAGCCTCTAAAGTACCAATGATCGTTCCTACTGGTACTTCCTCCTTTGTAGATAACAGCAACGGTGGGTCATCCTTAAGATAAAAAAAGAGATTAAAAGGTATCTAGGTGAATAGCTTCAAAACTTCATACTTTTTGTGTGCTTAAAATAAGATAAGATTAAAGTTGACAAGAAATCTCTATGAAATAACTTTTGATAGAGCAATGTGTTACGAAGATCACTCAGTTATAAAAATAAACATATAATTTGTAAAAGGTAGATAGGAGCAAAAAGTCTTATCGTTAATACCCATATTTTTTTTTCAGTAAATTTCTTGTACTTGATAGATTTAAATATTATAAATGTAAATAAGGTTTTGGGATTGACATAACCAATGTGCTAGTATATGCTAACATAAGATATTCATAACAATTTACACTTTACGACCCAATATCGTTATCGTATCGTGAGTTCTAAATACTTACCAGTGCTCGTTGGAAGTGTGGTTTATGATCATCTATATCCCCGACGTGAACGGTGACAATACGGCTGCTCTGCTGAGGTGGCGAGCCATGATCTGAGACGACTAACACTAGTGTGTACGTGGCTTTACTCTCACGATCAAGCGGCTGTCTTGTTGTAAGTAGACCGCTTTCTGGATCTTATTTTTATTACGGAAACACAACAAGTATTAATATTTTAAATTAACGCCTATTGAAAACTAAAAACAATGTTATAAATATTTTTTTAAACCCTTAACCATGTGACTATATTGAAGATAAAGTATATCAAATCTCACCTAAACTAAATATTTTAGAATCTGCATCATCCTGTTGTATTGAATAGGACAATTGTCCAGACGGCTGAGTGGGGTCATCAGGGTCACTGGCCACCACTTGGTACACTGATGTTCCGATCGTAGCATTCTGAAGATGTTCATTTAAATATTTATTAATAACATAAAAACATGTAAATTAAGACTAAATTATATGCCAGTTAGCGAAAGAATAATGAAATATGCATACTTATAAGAAAAACTCTCTCAGGATCTATACACACACAAACTACTTTTAAGACTAAATCACATAAATACTATACACGAAATATACATAAACTACAAATACCTAAGTCTAGAACTAAACATTATGGTGACAAAACTATACAATTTGAGGGAGCGCTAATGTACAATAATCTACCGAAAGAAATATTAAACGAAAAATCTTTTTTGAAATTTAAGGCTAAATTAAAAACATACTGTCAAACTTTATAATATTTGAATGTTTGTATAAATAAGGTCACCATTAACTTTATAAATGTTTATTATTATGTTACTAGTTTAAGTCCTATGTAAGTGAACTTTGTTCTTAATGGGAAATAAATCATCTCTAAACCTAAACCTAATATTTTTTTTAACTCACCTCACTAACATTAAGTACTTCGCCGTCTGCTGGTCTAATAAATCTAGGTACCCCATCGTTAGCGCTTACATCACCTATATAGAGTGAGAGGGACGCATCCCCTGAATGTCCACCTCCATCAACAGCTCCTACCAGCAGACGATAGGGGTCCGTGCGACCGCGACCAGTGAGAGCACTCCGGGTTGTAACCTCTCCAGTAGTAGCATCGATTGTAAATAGACCTTAGAAAGATACAACTATATTAAAAAAAGACATGAATAAAACTAATATTTTCGGAATTACTAAGCGATTTCCTCGTCTCTCGTCATCACGTAATCACGGTTGCTGTAAAGTAGCCGAAACGTCAGGAGTATGTAGTTTATAATCGACAATCCGAAAATATTAGTTTCATTTAAATGAGCACTAACGAAAATCTTAGATCTCATTAAAAGACCTGAATTTGGATACAGTGTAATGACCTCTAAGCGTGGTTATAAAAAATACTGTTAATTAATCTTACCGTGTGCTTCTCCTTCATCCAAAAATTCATATTTGATTTCACCTCCAAGTCCTTCATCGGGATCAATTGCAGTGAGTTTTACGACGTTTATTCCAATCGGTACATTTTCGGGCACAACAGCTGTAATGTTATAATAACATAAAGATTATACAGGGTGACTGGTGAATTACTATCAATATTTAAGGAGCATACTCGGTACATGATTCTCATTCGAATTATGTAAAAAAATAGGTACTTAATTTTTGACCAAATTTCCGTATAAATAAATAAAGTGTTGACACGTTCCAAGTGTTCCAAGTGTGGACGCGTGCGGCGGCGTGCTGATACAACAAGACGCCGCCGCGCGCGAATGTGTGTGTGTGTGTGAGTATACCTAATCTGTAGGGTGTTCGTACGATGCGTAATTAATTACATAACTTTTGGCTAACTTTACTTAGAAGTTTATTAATATTTATGTTATATTAATTTTTATTTTGTCATATATGATCGTCAAATATCACGTCCTCAAATATCGATAGTAATTCACCAGTCACCCTGTATATGTGGAAAAAAAACCTTATAAACTTTGACTTTGGAAATTATTTGTATAGAAATAACATGGATATTATTTTTTTTTTTAAAAAGAGCATACATATTACAACCAAGAATATGTTTAATTTAATTTTGTCCTCTCAGACTTTAACAACGAAGCTATTTATTTTAATATACAATTTATATTGATCTTTTGTAAATCAAATAGATAAAAATCTTTGAATAACTCACCAGTGTAAACGCTCTTATCAAATACAGGAGTATTGTCGTCTACATCAAGTACGTCAATCAGCACAGTCGCTACTGACTTGAGCCTGTCAGCTCCGCCGGCGGGCATATCGTACGCTTCAACTTCAATTCTAAGAACGGATTGACGTTCACGGTCCAACGTTTTGTTTTCACCTACCTGTGTATTATAATTACTATACTAAAGGTACGTCACATAATATTTAATGGCACGAAAAAAAATATTAACAGATCCTTAGTTTTAGAATTTTAATAAATAAATACAAATTATTATATATTTGTTCATTGGCAGGTGTAGAAAAATTAAGTCTAATTAGATTTTGTGTTTAAGCATTTTTTGTCTCGGATAAAACAAAATTATTACCTGAATAACCCCTGTGATACTATCTATTGATAAGAGTTCAGAATTTTCTCCCTTTATTGAATATCTCACATCAGAGAAGCCATTTTTCTTATCTTCGTCTGTTAGAACTGCATCAGAATCCTTGGCGTTCACAGTTAATATCTGCTCTGGATACTTTATGGATTCCAAAATACTCACTTTATAAACCTGAAAGAATTTAAAAATATATATATTTAGAATTTTAAAATGTATATATCATATGCATTGCATTACACAAGTGTACTTAATTAACGCAATTAATACAAGTAAAGTGACAAAATATTACCTCTTTTTCAAATACAGGTTCATTATCATTTATATTTATGACTTCAACAATAACATTGGCAATGCTGTGTTTGCTTCCATCAGTACTGGTAGCTTGTACTGTTAGTGTCAAATTGGGGCTGTTCAACTTCTCGTAATCCAAATGATTTGTTAAAACAACCTGTCCACTTAAAGGATTAACTTGTAAGAGACTTGTTTGTGAATTTATAACCTTGAAATTAGAAACGATATGACCAGAAGTGGGATCCTCAGCCATCAATACGAGAACAGTGCTACCGATGGGCTGTTCTTCTTTTATTTTATGATGGATTGTAGGATTGGAATTTGTCCAACCGGGGTTAGTGAATTGGGGATTTTTGTCAGCAAATGGCTGAATATAAATTGTGTGTTCTAACAGTGCGAATTGTTTATCTTCATTTATTTCAGCGTTTACGTCAGTGACTTTTATAGTAAGTATGACTATAGATGTTTGACTGTAATCTAAAGTTCCATTCACAAAAATTTCTCCAGAGTCTTCATTTATTTTGAACAAGTTTTTGTAATCGTATGCTGAGTTAGTTTTGATCTGTACACCAGCTTTTGAAAATGCCTTGATCGGTTCTGTTATACTATATTTAAGTTTAGCGTTTAGATCTGAATCATACGCTACTAATTTCGTCACTAAGTCATTAACATTGGCCCTTTCTGAAATGTAAGTTGTAGATTCTGTTACATTGAACATCGGTGGTTTGTCATTAACATCCTGTATTGTTACAAACACAGTGGTGGTAGCCGTTTCTGGTATAGGAGTTCCGCTATCCACTGCAGAAACAATTATCTCATAGCGTTCGGGATTTATATCACGATCAAGATTCGCGTCGTTTGATACAGTTATTAAACCAGTCCTGAAAAAATAAAGTGTAAACTATTATATTAATTATTTTTTCAAAATACCACGTATCGTATGACATTAGTGAGAACATAAATCATATGTACACATACTTTTCATTTATAGCGAAATTATCCTTCGATCCAGAGATGATATGGTAAGTCAGTAATTCATCCATGCCATCTGGATCATGAGCTACAACTCTGGTAACGTTTTGTCCTGGACTTGCATTTTCTCGTATACTTGCTTTATAATTCATAGGATTAAGATCGAATGTATAATCATCATTGAGATCTTTTTGATTGACAATATACTTGTAGTGATGGTAATTGCCTTTGAAGGTGGGTCTTTGGTTACCAGGAACACCTACTCGTATGAGTACCCGTGTCTCATTATGAAGTGGTGGATCTCCTGTAAATATATTGCAAAGTAATTAATATGAGACGACGAAAATTTGTTAGAGTTAATAAAAATATTTCAAATACAAACCGTAGTCCGTAGCTCGTACTAATAGTTCATATTGACCCCTCGGAGTGTCCATGGTCTCAACTTTATTATTAATAGTGATCTCGCCGGTTTCTTCATCTATAGCAAATACTTCACCTTTATGAGCTATGCTATTGTCTGATACTAGAGAATAATTAATGCGACCACCTCCTTGCGTAGGACCATCAGCATCTGTTGCCTTAAAACACGGAAATTGTAAGCTTAGTATAATTCATAAATTTTAGTGTTCATTATAAGTAAATCAAATATTATAACTGAACTGTCTTACCCGTATTACAAGTTGAGGCTCAAAGCTCGTTGCACCATCTCTTATAGTACGGCTGTACTCGGAAGCTTCAAATATTGGTGTGTTATCGTTAGTATCTAAAACGTCGACGAAAATACTAACTGACGTTGATTTTCCGCCTCCATCTTTAGCGAGAAGTGTTAAACTGTAACTTTTTTGTGTTTCATAATCCAGCATATTTGCAACAAATATTCCTCCCTGGACTTTATCCGTTTTAAATATGTTTGATCCAAATCCGGATAAAAAATATTCTATTTCCCCGAAAATCCCGTAATCCTTATCGCTGGCTTGAACTTCACCAATTTTAAAGCCTATAGATGCGTTTTCCAGTACATTAAATTTATAAAATGGTTGGTCAAAGACTGGAGCATTGTCATTCATATCTAGTAACTTTATATTCACTTTAGCGTGACTCAATTCTATACCGTTAACCGTGGCTACAATATCAAAACTAAATAGTCTCTTCTCCTCATCGTCAACGTCGTAGTCAAGTTTGGAGGAGTCTTTAACCTTAATACTTATTGGAGTTCTACCTTCACCATGATCTGGCGTTATCAAGAAAACATTTTCAGAATTACGAACGTTTCGGATATGCAAGTCGTATTTACTGTTCTGACCGAGATCGTAGTCTTCTACGTATATTGATAACTCTGGAATGGGACTTCCATTTTCAATGTTTTCTGGTATGGAAATATCAAAAACATCCCCATTAAAAATAGGCTTATGATCATCGGCATCAGTTACAATAATTGTTATAGGAATGACTGTATAGTCTGATGGCACTTCGTTGTTTATTAGTTCCGTTGCCTGAAATTCAAAACAAAATCTTATTGAATCTGAATATGGGAATTTATGTTGTAAAAGAAAGGAATGTACCTTTACGAAAAACGTATAAACGCCTCCATTCTGTACCACTACATCACTTTCTCTATCCACAGAGATATTAGAAGTTATTAGTGTCGCACGGCCTATTGACTTTTCAGATTGTAGACGAAAGTAGTGTTGGGTATCGTCTTCGAGGGTTAATAACACTGGTCGGGGATTAGCTGTGTCACCATCTTTGGCTATTATTTCCAGTATTTTTGTATTCTGAAAACAGTTAGCAATGTTAAGTAAATCAATCAGTTAAAAACATTATTAAATTTGACTTAATGTTAACTTAAACTTCTTGTTATGGATCTGGTTATATGAAAATAGATTTACATTTTCTGTATACATACGGGAGGAGTATTTTCTTGAACGGTAGCTGAATACGGAGCGTTAACAAATACAGGAGGTTGATCTTGAACGTCTTGTATAGCAATGGACACGCTTCCTATTGCGTTTAAAGGTTTTTGAGAAACATCTGACGCATCCAGAGTAAGCACATACGCCCAACGACTTTCGTAGTCCAAAGGCTTGGAAAGGAATATACGGACTTGATATTTGTTTGGTGTAATCTGAAAAGAAGTTGATTATTTTTATTTTGAATACAAAAATTTTAATAAATAAGGGGTGTTTATGGTTGAAATAATATATTACTTCTTCCGTTGTAACTCTGAAGGTGGAACAGGCTTCAACATCGCTCCCTCTTTCTTTATCTGAACATTTTACTCGTATCTTTGCGTTGTCACCCTCATCACGGTCGGTTATTATTATGTCTGGCGTTACCTAGAATATTATTATCCATTTAAATATTACTCAAGACAAATTACATTTTAAACTTGTATATAAAGTGTTAAGTAAGAATTTTACTTTGATTTCGCTGCCAACAGAAGTCGCTTCGCTTATATTTACAATATACGGTCGGTTGTGGAATACGGGAGCGTTATCATTCACATCTCTCACGGGTATCACTCTCCTTAAAGACACCGTATTTGGTTCAGTGTCATCTAATCCCTCATCTGAAAAATACAAAAACAAAACGTGCTTGATTATAATAATATTGATATTGTTTGCTTTTTCACAATGTTCATATGTAGAAATATAAGATATCATTTAATATGTATTAATTAAAATATTTCATTGAATCCTTACCAGTTATACTAATTATGACTTCTAGCTTCGCTTGTTCCTCTCTGTCCAACGATCTAGCCAGCGTTACCACGCCAGTTACGGAGTCCACGGTGAAGTATTGACCAGATATAGAATATCTTAACGTTCCGTTTTCTGGATCGATGCCTTAAAATACAAAACAAATACTAATATAGACGATTGATTTATGATTTTTTTTCTTACATTCTAAGAATAATATTGCCTAAAACAATGATCACCTTTGAAGGTGCAAAACTGTACAATAAACTACCCACAAATATAAAAAAATGTAAACTCATTTAACGTATTTAAAAAAGAACTTGCTGAGTATATATTAATAATAAATAATTAAAACTAATACAATACGTTAAATAAGTACTTAATATAGAAAAATGTCTCTTAGTTAAGCGTTATTTTATTTCATTTTTGTTACAAGTGCGATGTCGAACTGTATATTCATAAATGTTTTTGTAAGTGATAATAATGTCTTAATGGGAATAAATATCTTAAACCATTAAATATTTAACAAAAATAGAAATGCAGTACTATACTTTAACTTAAAAGTGCGATAATTTATCACAAATATGGAAACACTTGGGACGTAAAACTAGCTTTGGGTTCTAAATAAAGTTTAATAGTAGGTTATTTTACCTAACATATATAAATTTTACAATCGTCTTTACAGACTAACCCGTAAAAGCATTTAGTTTAGTAACCACTAAAATAAAGAGCAAAGAGCCATTTGTAATTAGTGCAAACTTTACCTTTAGACCCAGTTTCACCAATCAATGTTTGTTAAATCTAAACAAGGCTTCTACTAACAAACCTTTATTAAAATATTTACGTCCCACGAACAAAAATTAACAACGAATTATTAAAAGTCATGTTAAATGACCGACTACCAAATTATTCGTTCTTGTTAAAAGACGACCAAGTGTAAACTATAGCGTTTAACACGGCACGTTTGCCACGGTGCACCACTTTATACTCGTACTTTGATCGTATATGTCCCTCGATACGTCACTTGTAAGCTAATGCAACCAAATTTTATATATCGTTGGTTGCATACATTTAGCACACAAAAAGCTTTCTTTTCAATTTACTAGGTGTAACTTGTCAAAATCGTGTCAATAAATTGTGTTTTATTATATTATTGTGCTATAAATATAGACTTAAATTGTGTTCAAATTATAAGAAATAAAAAGAAAACTTAATTTGCAATGTCATAGAAAAGCTGGAGGCAAAATCATCATACTAAATGAAATTTTAATTCACTTTATTAATAATAACTAGGAAATAATCGAAACTGACAAAACAGATGACGTTACTATGGTTACAAGAAATCAGGGCTGTGAATGGACAATTGAGTTTTGACAATGCCATTAGCATTCTGTTAGCCATTAGACGGAGCTCCAGTGCAGGAATTAATATTAGTGGCTGGTTAAGACATTTAAACAGACATTTGTGCGTGGTGGGACGCTCGATACATCTATCAGAGCATCAAACGCCTTAACACGATGTTACTTATATAAAATTGATTGGTGAAACTGGGTCTTAATGTATTAGAGCAAACATTTACCTTTTAAATGATACACCGGTGTCCCAACTTTCGTGTCTTCTGATAAACTGAATTGTGACATGTCCCCGGTTTGAGGTATAAAATGCGGCACCCTATTGATGACTTGGCCAGTCATTTGTTGTATCAAACATATTATCAACAGTATTATCAACGGGTTTTGTGTGCTCACTACTGCAGCGGCTTTCCGTCGTTCCAAAATTATTTCTGCCATCTGTAATTATATCTTTTTATAGCCTCATCTTAAGTATAAAAGTGTTTTTATTATTTATAACATATTAAGGAATGCCAAATTCTGTTGCTTAGCTTCTATATTAATACCAACGATAGTTAATTGTGTAATTATGAATAAGTGCATGATTATTCCTCGTCATTAAATTAGTTTCATTAATTATAATAACTATGTTAATAATATAACAAAACTAATAGTGATTCAAATAATGAAAGGTGATGAAACCGGGAATATTTTTTTCCAATAACACAGAATTTCTCTCAAACAGATCAGTTGGTCAATGAACGTCTTTCACAATGTAGGCGGAACCAGTTAGCGGTAGACTATTGTTACGATAGCGCTGTTATTTTGGTTAGAGCTTGAATTACTTTTACGGTTTACGATACCATACCTTTTAAATAAAAGAAAGAACTATTAATTTGAAAGATTTTTCATGTATTTCTAACAAATCTTTAAAGATTTTGATCCTAAACTAAATCTTACACTAAAAGTTTGCCAACGATTTTTGTTTACAATGATAATTTATTAGTTCTTGTAAATTAAATCAGTCATTTCTCAACAAAAAGAAAGCATTTATCGTACTTCTAAAATATCTTATTTTGCTCTATATATGTAAGAACCACGTTTATCTATTTATCTTTTAAGTTGTAATTACCTGTTTGTCATGCCCTACTTGCAATCGGATATTTACCGATCGGGTTGCATGCGGTAACTGGTCGAAAACATGTTATTATGTCTCCCTTTTTAAGTAATCCTATACTATTAAAGGAGCGATTCGTATATATGTATATTATTAAATTTAATCCAATTTTTAAGGAAACAGTAATAGTTTTAAACTGCTCTACTGACATCACCATTAAAGTTGCTAAACAATATAAAGCGTTGTTGAGAAACAAGAAGCGTGTAATATTACTCAATATATGTCAAAAATATATACCGAGCAAATCTCGACCACTAGATTTTTTTAGTATATATGAACAGTAAACGATAAAAATGACATTACATTGTGTAAGAAAAATAGAATAAAATATATTTATATATTAATTTTTATCATTGGCTATAGGTATAGTTAGAGTAATTAATAAGTATGCTCTAAATAGCTATTAAACCTGTTATTATAAACGTGTTAGTAATATATTTATAATTATAATCCACCCATTCGAAAATAGTATTCAAATTATAAAGAAATTAAGTTATGTATAATGAATAGACAAAATTTCGACTGAGTCATGAAATGAAAACATCTGTAAAGAAGAATATCGGTCATTCAATATTCAAATACGTATCATATTCCACATACATAAATATATATATGTATATATATGTCAAACTATGTTATACGATTTAATGATAAAAACTTTTATGTAATAACGATTACCGAAGTGATTTAACGTATTTAGGACAAACACGACGTGCTCCGACGCATTCCAAAGCGTTGCTATTAACACGACGGCAGCGACAGTGCGATTTTATATAAACATAACACAACCTTGTTTAATAATAACAGAATTATGTTATTAAGCATTCGTAATATTGTCTTTTCATTATTTTGTGATGTTTAGTTTACTCAGGAATCATAGAACAACGTATTTTGGTAATATTATTGACGACAACTAATCCTATTGACAAGAGTCACATAGCACAAGTGAATTAATAAATTTGGGTTCCTAAATATAACTTATGATATTTTATACTTATTTGTATGTTTGAGAACCGGAATAAAAGAAAAAGTATAAAATAACTAGGAAAAAAGTTTGAAAAGCCAGCTATAAGTAATTATTTTTCGTTATCTCCATTCGTCTTTGCTTTATTTCTGCATTTACTTTAAATGTCAGATTATTTACAAATAATAAAAATATATTTTCTCAGACTTACCAGGCTTAAAAAAAACGCCTCGACCATTGATTTTAAAGTACATAGAATTATATATAGTCGAATTTTCGCGTGATACATTTGCTTGACTATTTATTAGTTGAATTCATTCTCTTTAACAAAATCTATCAGCGAATATCAAAAAGATGTTTCTAATAGATTATATTGAGAACAAGACAATTTATTTTAACTATTTTGTTATAACAATCAATATAAGTGTTACGTATTCAATATTTGCTCATCGGTCGTAATGAAAAACGCTAACGTATTTATAGATACCACTAACACTATCGTTTGTTATAAAATAATGAATAAAAAACATTAATCATAACATCATCACAATACGAGTCAGTGAACTGAATACAAGAATACAATGGAGTCGTGGGAAAAGTGATTCTGTTCCTTATAGCTCAAACATAATGTTTTAGGAGTAACGGTAAAAAGTACTTGAAGGCTAGCCTTTATGTACTTAGATATGTGCTAATTAAAATCTTTCGAGATATTTTGAATCATTTCCATACCAAAAAATAATATTAGTTGCGATCTCATAAAAATAACACGTTCATTTTTGAAACACAATTTTTGCATTTACTATATAATAAATTTATTGAACACTATTGAGAGATTACTTAATTTTTTTTTTGAGTAATCATAAAATAAATAACCTATAAAAATATCTAATATTAGCCAACTGACCTTGATGACTAATAAATGCCATATGTAAAGAAAGTTCCGCATGTAAACATGCCTTAACATGCTATTTACAGTTAAACCCAAATTTTAAATACTCACCTTAAATGTATCTTTATAAAAAAAAACACTTATAAATTATCAACTATATTTGACACATATCACATTTTACACACAAAATTTGCAATTAAATAACGAATTATTTGCTTATATATAAGTCATCTTTCTTACGGACTTCGAAGGCAACTCCGCTAAGTTCAACTGTACTGTCAAAAACTTGCACCACCGGTCCAAGAGTCGTTTTTAGTGTCCTTCTCACATTGTGTATAGATTATATGAGTTAGAAAGAGACCATTGTAATTTGTATTTCTATCGTTAAAGCGTTGCAGATAGAACCTTTTTGCACATGAAAAGTAACGGGGTTTTTAAGATGCGTGAGTTGAGATGGAGCTTATTTAGTCAGATAAGATAGAGAGAGACAGACGATGTTGTGTTTATGGTGAATAAAATAGTTGCATTATTATTATAAGGTCACGGGAACGTAACTTTATAAAAATAATATTGAAAGTTGCTAGTTATAAGATTAACGTAAGCTTTAATTTATTTATTAATATTAGCTTAAAGGGCCACTCTTATCATGGAATATATATTTTTTTGTGTCCAAATTTATTTATGATTATTTAATATTTTCAACTAATAACATTGTATACCTACAGTAAAAACTTACAGAAAAATTATCAATCAGCAAGAGAATTGTTTTGCATACTAATTAATAATTCAAATATTGTTATTTTTTTCTTCCAGAATAATTTTAGGTTAATAACCAGTTAATAGTTTTGAACCAACACATTATCTATAAGATTTCAAACGCTACTTACTTTTATCCCGCAGTTTTTCTAAGTAAGTTTGTAAAGGTATAGGTACAAATAATTATTTCTGCTGAAAAAATAATAAACATACAGAAACTTAAGCATTCATAATATTAAAGCAATATAAATAGACAATTTAATTCAAATTAATGAATTAATTATTATTTTTGTTTTTCAGAATACACACATTCTTTTTATAAATTTTAGTAGGTCGGTACTTAATTAATAAAAAGTTTAATGATTTATTTTGTTATTATAAAAAGGAATAGGAATATTTACTCAGTTCTTTCGTGGTAGTATTAATAGTAGAATTAAACATCTCCTTTAACTCCTCAGTAGTTGTGTGGTATAAATGAATACTCTGTGGCTATCTTTTTACAACAGGCGTTACTTATTATTGCACCATGTGTAATCATGACAGAATAATCTATGGCTTCGTTGAATAGAATCAAACGCATGGATATTGTCTGTATAATGTATACATTTTCTTTAACAAATTTATCTTGACTTAATAATGAAACGTCGCAAGCACCAGAATGGTTTAATTCTGCTATGTATTATAATGGATCCTATTAATTTATATATGAGATTAATAATAATCATTGTCAGGACTGATGCATACTTCTTGCCACCTCTTTGACGTTTTATTATGACAAATTGGTGACAGGTGAACTTTGTATCTGTCACATGTCAACTGAATGAAGCTGAAGCATAGAAATACTTCGCTTTATTTTACTTAAGTGTAAATTACTTAAACATATAAAGAAATTTACTTTTTTATTAGACTGTAACATATTGATCACAATCACCAGTAACGTTAGCCATATAACAAAAAAGACAATTAAAAATTTACATACATCTGAAGGATAACTTTCTCCCATAAATATGTACAATTTCACTTGCAAACTATTTAATCTTCAAATACAATGAGTTCATTATAATGTGACACATCACTTAACCTCAGTCTCTTTTGTATATATAAATATATTATGTACTGGTAAATAATATTCCAGATATGAAGGTTTCAATTGTATCTTCAATAATGTGTCACGCAACTCAATATGATAGTCACGAACTAATTTAACGAGAAAAAATACTGTAAGGAAATCAGTAACCCATTATTACTCGAAAAATCAGAATAGACAAACTCTTATTTTATAAGACCTATTCTACATATTACGGACTATAGAAATAATTGCAAGGAAATTGAAATAATGTACACTTGTTTAGAAATTTTTTATTATTAAAATTAAATAACATAAAACACGTTATATTAGGTAATTTACGAAATCCTGAAGGTCATGATGCAAAGAGTCTTGTCTTCATTCGTTTTCTCAAACCATTGTCAGTCCAAACTAATTACTAATTCAAATGTATGTGAAAGTTGAGCAATCTGAATAATTACCCTAATCATGTAATGAGCTTCGTTATTGTCGACTACAGACCTAAGACACGTGTGGATGAAAGAATTTTTACTAACGAGTCATAATATAATATAAGCTTTATTCAAAGTATGTACAAAATATTTTTAATTAAAACAATTATTAATTATTTACAAATACAAAGTCACTCATAATTTTAAATCGATACGAAATTACATAAAGAAATGAGACAAACATTGATTGTCGTTGTTTCTATTTGATTGAAATGATCATAATAATAAAAAGTTTTGTGACTTATCAAATACATTTCTTAACTGTTGGAAAACCGATCAGAACCATATTTTCGGTGGGATACTATAATAAGGTATATAAAGGCTACTAAAAGTCTGTAGAAATAAGTTATTTAACATAATGGTTACCTTAATATATCTATTCAACTTATTCATTATTCGGATTTTCTTGTATTCGTCTTAAATCGTACATCGGTACGTACGTCGATTTGGGTATTGTTAGTAGATTTTCGAGTCTTTTCCTTCTGTATCGCTCTGAATTTTCTTGCAAAATTGTCGTCAACATCTTACGTTTCATGTTCCTGTAATGACCATTTATCATGGGAACGTATGTACCTGTGGTTGTCTCTATTTCGTATTCTGTTGTAGTTTCTGAATCATAATTATTGTCTTCTGTCGTTTGTGATTCAGTTGTACTTTCAACAACATTCTTCAACTTTATGGCGAGTGTTTGCCTTTCAATATTCTTGTTTTCGACTTCAGATAATCCTACGTTGTTGGATTCTGTTTGCACATCTCTTGATTCATCGTAGTCAATGCTATCAGAGTTCTGTATATTCTGATAGTGATCGGGTACTCGTGCGTCCTCTGGACTGAACTTGAATATTTCGGGCGCATTAGTAAATACTGTTTCAGTAGAAGGTACCGGTGACGTCAAGGGCGTTATAGGAGTGTTAATTGGATATGTCACTAGCGTTGGTCTTATCTCTATAGGTATAATGCCAGAACTACCAACATGGTAATCCTCGACGTGTGAAGAGTTTAACAGTTCACCATCATTAGTGTATTCAGTAACTGAAGGTTCCGTTGAGGTGATCCTACTGAGAGGAAATTTATCTAAATCATCTTGATTATTACTCGTATTTTTATCTGTAGGCGTTGAAAAAATATTGAACTTAACGGTTACTTTGGGAATATTTTCATTTCTATTCGAAACTGGTTCGTAATAGTTTCCCTGTTTCACTGTAACGTACTTAGGTCGTTCACCTCTCAAGAAAGTTCTTCTTACAGGGAATATAGTTTTCCTTTTAAAATAAAACCAAGGTTTGGGAGTGGTCAAATAGATTTTCTCTTTTTCATTATTATTTTTAGTATACGTAGAGTCCGTCGTAGGAAGAGGCATTAAATTTAGCATTACACTGAAGGACTTGGGCTCGTTACCAGATTTCACAGCATTAATTTTGGATTCTTCAGCATTTTGCAAATATACGTTTTTATCTCCGTTTCTATAACCTTTATTACATTCAATGCCAAAACATTTCTTGGGTGGGTCTGACAAAGACTTGGGTGGTAAATTTAAACTATTTTTTCTATTGAGTGTTGTAAATATTGTTGGTGAAAATTTGAATCCATCTGCAAGTAAGTTTACATCGCCTGGATTATCTGGTCTATAAATATAGAGAGGGTCCGATTTATGATTCGATCTTACTTCAATATCCATTGAACTCGAAGGTTTTAGATCGCCACTTAGTGGTTTTGTCACATCTTCACTGTTTGTTGGTGACATAAAAACTCCTGAAAAGGCAATTTGTGCTTTGCTTGGTAAGTACATGTCTCCGAATTTTGCATTTAGGGTTTTCTCAAGATATTTAATCACATCTTGGAGATTCCTTAATCTTTCTGCATTACGATATCTTTCTACCCAATTCTTAGGATTTCCATTTGCTTTAGCAAATGGTTGCGGATAGGGACTTCTATATTCAAAGTCAAATGGTCTTGGACTTGTTCTTCTTATAAATTTATTTTCATTAAATTTATTTACTCTTCTTGCTGCAGTGGGTCTTATGTAAATAATTTTAGCTTTTCTGTCACTTTTTAAAGCAGCAACGGGGAGTTCTACAGTCGGTTCGATGTAACTACTTTCTTGAAGACCATTTACTAGAAGGGGCATTCTTTCATAATAATCTTGATCGAAACCAAAATTACTTCTATCAAGCTTATCTGCTACGGGATGGTCAGTGTTATTGTGATTTGAATGGATTCGTCTCTTAATTTGTACTAAATTGGTTTCTACAACAATCATATATTCATAGATCAGTAGAACTACCTGAAAAATAAAATATTTTTTGTTATTTTTAACTTTATATAGTTGTTATATGTAGGATTAAGAGGAAAATTTTGTGTTTTTACTTTGAGTTGACATTAAATATTGTACTTTGATTACATTAATTATATTTATTTTAATTGAAAAATCAAAAACAAAGCTCAGGAAAATTAAACATTATATCAACAGCTTTTAACTTCCTTTTTATTTAAGTTTATTTGAGAAAACAAATTCATTTCATATTATAATTATTGTAATCTTCATTTTCAGTGTGTTTCCAATTATCACGATGTATTTCCAAATAACTTGTTTTAGTTCTAGGAAAGTTAATTTCTGTATTCTCTTCTTCAGTTGAATTAAAATTCTCGGTATTCATATCAAAGTATAGTAATTGTGTATTATTATTATTAAAATCATTCTCGGCTATAGAATCATTGAAAAGATCTTTGTCTATTTTTTTGAAATTAATCGATGTCTGTATATCTTGATAGAAGTTTTTCTCGTCTTCACCTTCTAAAGTTTCATAATCTGATGAACCTAGATTTAATTTAAATAAATTGTTTTTTTGCGTCAAATCTTTTAATCTTGTGTTAGAAAATTTGATTGTCGAGGAATCAATTGAAGTTGAAACAGGAGATGGCAAGCTTTTTGATTTTTGAAATAAAGTATCTCTTCTCATGTCATAATTATTTCTAGTTTTCATTTCATCTCTTAATTCAGGACTTATCAGTTGCCCTAATTTTCGCAAGGACCCATAGTAATTTTCAGCATAGTCATTGGATTTTGTTTCAAAGTTCGGTTCCAAACTAACCAAGTTGCCCATTTTTCTCATCGAACTGTAATTATTTTCATCATAATTTTCTACATTCATATCAGTTTCTAAATCAGTTTTTTTTATTTCACCCATTTTTCGTAAATTCCATAAAGTTTTTGTTCTGTTATTATTTTCATCCTTAGCACTATCATGAATTGTTTTTATTTCCTTATTTTTGCCTGACTTGTCGTAAGCGTAGTGAGTGTTTTTTCTACCAGGAATTAGTTTACTCTTAACCAGTTCCATAGCGTGAATATCTAGATCAGGAAAATTGTTTATCATATTGGAGGCAGGACTAGTTAAAGTGGGGTCTTCTACTTTTATGTAAGAAGAGAAACTTTTATCATTTTTTTCTGTTGAGATATCTGTAGCAATTATTAAATCTCCGCTAAATGTTTGATTACTCTTGTTCACTTTTATGGCACCAGATGAAATATTAGAATGATTCTTATTTATGGTCAATGAGTCAGTTGCTTCGTCTGACAAAACATAATAATTTTCAGTACCAGCCATTGACTGCTTCTTCATTGCAGATTTGTGTTTATTGTAATTAATTGCTATTTCGCTTTTATCAGGAAATTTATTAGACAAAATCAAATGTATTAAACTTTTTAAACCGTGTTTAACTTTAGGAAATAACGATTGCATCAAAATGTTAGGTTCTTCAACTTTTGTTGGTGAAGTTTTTGATATATCTGGATTTTTTTTATTTAAATGAATCTGAGAGCCTAATACACTCCTTGTATTGCTATCATCTTTGATATGTTTATTAACACTGTCATGCTTTATTGATAATTTATTACGTTCATCACACATCTTTGATTTCCTCAATATATCATGAGTAGAATTTGGTAAAAGTTTTTGCAGCAGTGTAATCACGTTAGATAGTAGTTGGTTCATTTTTTGGGAGCAAGTGCATTTTTTATTCTTATCGCTATTGGTGTTAATGCTTTTCACTTTTTTCTGCGATATCTTTGTATCGAATCTTTTTATATCAGTCACAGTCGTGATGGGAATGTTTTTATCAAATGCATAACTATTTTTCAACATTGCCACTGTTGAGGCTGCAGTGATTCTTTCATTTATCATTTTATTCACATAGTTCATTATTCTTTGGTAATCTTTTATTCTTCTTGTCTTTGTAAAATAATCCGTATTTCTTGTGGGATTTTTATAGTATACTATCGGTGATGTCTTATATTCAATAGTATAAATTCTTGATTCTGGAATCTGAATCCTATCGTCAGAAAAAATATTGTTAGTAAATATATTTTGGTTTTCTTCCTTCTTATCGTATAAATCACCAGTATCATCTTCCATGATTTTATCGTAATATATATTTTTATTTAACGCTTTCAATATAAGAGGTAAAATGCGCATAGAAGAATCAAGATTTATTGAGGATTTATTAAATTTGGTCTCAAATGGTATTGTTTCATTCGTATTCATAAGTCCCAGCCAGTTTGGTTTTACGATTGAATTTGGTGAAAACTCCGAGACTATACCGTACTCGTAAATCAATATGACGCCCTGTAAACAGAAAATGTATTTTATTATTCTGTTTTTATTACTTAATCTGATTCTCAGATGTATCAGGAAATTTTTATTAAGCTATTTTTAGTCAACAGTTACATTAACATAACATATTAAATTATTGTTTACTCACCATAACACATAAATTGAAACACATAAAAAAGAAATAATTACAAAACTATACAAAACACAACAAATATGTTAGTTTGAAACTAGAAAATAACAAATTCATATATACGAATATATCCATTATTAAGGCGAAAACAAAATAAATTTATGGACAAAATTGTTTCTGAATAAACATCAAAACAAATGTTCGTAATACAGAATATATGAGGTGTGAAACACGCAAGCCTCTCTTATAATACAGACATACCAAATAATAAATCATTATCCACCGACAAAAAAAGATTCTCAACAAAGTAAATCCAGAAGTGAATGAAAATGTTGTCAACTTAACTTTCAAATTTACGCATTTCATTATTACATGGCCTTATAATTTACCAGACGTTGCAAACGTTTATTGTTCATACAATTCAGTATTTTTTTCATACATTAATATAAAATTTAGTTCTTTAAAACATGAACAATTACATCACAAATTTGAAAGAGCTATCTGAATCATAATAAAATAAAATATATGAGACCAAATGACATTTTAATTATTCACAGTTGTCAATGATTAACGTATGGGTTTTATAATTTCAACCAATATAACTACATCGTAAGACATCATATGTTTTTGCGAGCCTAAAAAAACAAGGAACATTTTCAAGACAATTATTATAATTAAAGATGTCATGCAACGTTGACGGAACGGATCGTATTATGAAATCGCTTTTTAAGTATGAGAGTTTCATTTTATCACAGGGAAACAAATTTAAAATTATAATATAGAAACTCGAATTCTGCAAACATAGTTTTTATAGAAAACTACAAATATTCTAACTAACGTAACATTATAAATAAATATTCATATAAAGAATTTTAATAAAACTATTCATTGTTAGTACCTTTCGAGATATAAAGCAAGCCAATAGTTTCAACAAAAGTACAAAATTATATATATAAAAATAGCGGCAAATAATAAAACGGGTAACTTCATGGAAAGTGACTAGTCGCCAAGACAATGGAAACTCTGAAAAGACGGTAACGTATAGAATGTAGAATAAACAAATTATAAGAATTCCACTATCAACTTTGGATATATGAAATATAATGTTATTAAAAACTTGAACGAATTAGTATATAATTGTATACGGTAAAAAGTTAAAACGATAGAACAATAATTTTAAATTTGCGTAATACATTTACAAACTTCTAAAAATTCAAATTCAATATTGAAATTAGTTTTGAGCACAAACATAAGCGGCCTTAATGATCGAATTCAGTCTAAACAGAAAAAAAGTAAAGGATTAATTAAGATCACAGATTAGAGCGTTAACAAGTAGAACATCATGTTACAACAACACGTTAATTACACTTTTACCAATTACAAATCTTTACTTACAACTACAATGGTAACAGTTATAGCCGTTGAGACGGCTGCGCATGCGCATCCCTGTTTGATCTGGCGCTTCCTCGAGAGCCTGAGGAACTCCTCCGTCCTCGCATCAATCGTTCTGTATAAACCGAACTGCTTTATCCGAGAACTGGTCGTACTCACAGATCCCTCCGACATCTTGTCATATAATCACATCACTAGCTATGAAAGAATTCCCCACTTGTTTATCTGTTTTGTTAAACGAGTAAGTCACTTGCGTCCGCACTGAAAAATGCACCGGATTGTTTGTGAGCTCTGGCGATACACAATGTGTTTTTCTTTGAAATTACTGCTAAGTAATTTCTAGTGATGTGCCACTATTATTATTTCTTAATAAATTTAATTTATATCACTTTAACAATGTAATTATTAATATAAAAATTTAAGGGCATGTACACGATACATTATATATTTTAGTAATCATTCTTTTCATTAATATTTTTTTTACTACTGTATATGAATTAATAATGATAATTAAATGGAAAAGTAATTGTTACATTTATAATAATAGATATGGTATAGTTCGTACGAAATTAATTTAATCTTACCTTTTCTAAAACATGGACATCACTAGCGGCAGTGGTGCGTGCCAGCCACGTACAGAGCACGTTGTTAATCCCAGTAGACTTAAAGTGAAAACGTTTTATGTTTAAATATTCTACAATATATTTATTCTCTAATCACAAGGGCTTGAAACTTTTGCTTTATAAATATGCACTTATAAACACAGCTTATTCCTAACAAATCACAACTCAGAATGAAATATAAACAAGCTAGACTAAAATGTTATAAAATAAAACTAAAATTATGTTATTAACTTTCCCTCATCAATATGAGAATAGGTTTGAATATTTAAAAGAATAACAGACTAGGTCGAATTGTGTAATATGTATAATATAATGTTTAAAAGTCTTGTTAAATAATAATATTAATGGCTCCTCTTTTAATGGATGCCTATTTTGTGAATTAAAATGTACGCTATCTGTAAATTTGAATATTTTTTACAAATATCGTGAGTTCGCGTAGAAATGTTTGATCTGCCGTATAATATAAATTAAGGCGATTTCTTTGTTAAAATGTCTCAGATATATTCCAAAGTATTTCCTATACCGCAAGTGAGAGAGAATGAAAAATAGGTCGTTCCTAAGAGTACTTTTAAATTACAAGTACTTCGTTATCATACACAGTCTATTTTCATACAAACTTTCGTGATTAAGTTGATAAGAACTGCTTGCAAGCTAGAATAATTCTAAATCCACCGAATTAATATATGGAAGAATTTTTCGTAATGAAATGATGAACTAAAGAAAAATAGTTACACATTCAAATAATTAATCAGTCAATAAAGTAAAACTGAGCCTGTACAATTTACTACAAGTTGTTTCGGTAACTATGTAGTTTCGGCTAGAAACCTGTTTAGTAGAAATTTCAAATCTAGAATTCGTCAAGAACCTAACCCGCTATTCTTCTTACCAACAGAATCCTAGAAATTCGGCTAAAATATATAAATAAATTTTCATTATCAGATTATTTTCCACTTTTTTTGGGTTGGGTTAAAAATAATTGTCATGAAAATATTTTCCCCCCTGATAAACAAAATCTGTCTTCAAAAGTCTATAGCTTTCGTGACGAATCCTTCAGTTGAGTTCTAAGAAAAGAATTTAAAAGATTCAATGTTGTACGATTGTATTTGGCAACTTCTGTAAGTCAATCTTACAAGACTTTCAGTTAATAATTTATTAAAGGTTAAAATCTTATCAGCAATATACGTCTCTTTTATAAATTTAATTGTTCACATAAAGGGTGCAAAAAATAAAAATTAAATTATAATTTTTTATTCAAAAAAATATTTTTATAATCTTAAAATAGCATTAGTTAAGGCAGTGTCGATTCCACATTCGAGATTTTTGAGTATTAATCATTTATATATAGCATTCTTATAAATATGACACAGTTATGTATTACATATAAGCAGTATATATTCATATTTTAGTCATTAGCAATATCACATTAAATATAAATTATATAATATAGTGATCGCTTAAAAACTCATTTATTTAAATTCAAACTGTCTTAAAAATTTTAAATAACTTTATATTTATATCATATAAATATTTCTTCATCCAAAAAAAGAAGTCACGACTTAATTCACAAAAAAAAATCGTAATCGTCTAGACTCTCAGTTTGGTATCACAATTAAAGTAATTATGGCATCTTAGTAAAATTTTTAAACTAGATTAGAACACAAAAGGTACTAAAGGTTTATCGTAGAAGTATCCTTGGTCAGGTACAAATGGTGGTCGTGTTGGTCTTCGGGTCGTCGGTGGCTGTGTCGGTCTTGGTGGTATGTAGGTAGATGGTCGTGTAGGTAGAGTGGGCCTGGCTGAGGTTGGTATCGTAAACGTCACACTTGGTTTAGGGTAATCGTAACCCGTGGTTCTAAAATCTGGTAACAATGTTGAGTAAGTTGGTGGTGGACTTGGCCTTGTGGTTGGTGGCCGAGTTGGTCTTGGGGTTGGTGGTGGAGTTGGTCTTGGGGTTGGTGGTGGAGTTGGTCTTGGGGTTGGTGGTGGAGTTGGTCTTGGGGTTGGTGGTGGAGTTGGCCTCGTTGTTGGTGGCAGCGTCGGTCGTGTTGTTGGTGGTGGTGAGGGCCTTTCAGTTGTGGAAGGTGGTAAGTAGGTTGGGAAAGTGGGTCGGGTGGGTGGCGGTGTTGGTCTCTGAGTTGTAGAAGGTGGTAGGTATGTTGAGAAAGTAGGTCTGGTCGGTGGTGGTGAAGGACTGGTAGGTGGTCTTGGTCTCCTCGTTGTTGAGGGTGGAAGATATGTAACTATAGGCCGTGTGGTTGGAGGCAAATATGTCGTTGGTGATCTTGTAGGGAATGTGAAAGTCACATTTGGTTTTGGATAATCATAGCCAGTAGTTCTACTATTATCTGATATCGTAGAGTAAGTTGGTTGTCTGGTCGTTGGTCTTGGAGGAGGCCTCCTTGTTGTTGGTGGTGGTGGTGGTGGTGGCGGTGGTCTTCTTGTTGTTGGTGGTGGTGGTGGTGGTGGTGGTGGTCTCCTGGTTGTCGGTGGTGGTGGTCTGGTTGTAGGAGGAGGAGGTGGTGGAAGCCTTGTTGAAGGTTGTGGCCTTGTTGTCGGAGGTAAGTAAGTAGAGGGCCTGCTTGGTGGTGGTCTTCTTGTGGTTGAAGGAGGTAAATAAGTAGAAGGCGGGGGTGACGTTGTTGGAATCCTTGTGGGTGGCGGTCTGGTAGGTCTTGTTGGTGGAGGGAACGGTTTCCGAGGAGTACTATAGTAGTATCCTGTACTAAGCGTTGGTGGAGGATTAGTCCTTGGTGGTAAAGTCCTTGGGGGAGGCGGCGGTGTTCTCGGAGGTGGTGGAAGTGTTGGTGGAGGTGGTGGTGGAGTCCGTGGAGGAGGAGGAGGCGTTCTAGGTGGAGAAGGTGGGGGTGGTGGGAATGGTATTTTGGGTTTCTCATAGAAATAACCATCATCCGATGTTACTGGTGGTGGCGGTGGCCGAGTAACTGGCGGTGGCGGTGGCCGAGTCACTGGCGGTGGTGGTGGCCGAGTAACTGGCGGTGGTGGTGGCCGCGTTATTGGTGGTGGCGGTGGCCGAGTTATTGGTGGTGGCGGAGGAGGTGGCGGGAAAGGTATTATTGGTTTCGGGTAGAAATAACCATCTTCATTTAGGTCAGCATTAATAGGTGAGCCCAGAACTGCATAACTCTGGCTAGGATTTGGTATCGCTGCCTTACATGTCTGGTAAACCGACAATAGCACCACCGCAATGTGCAGTGACAGCCTCTGAAACAAAAAAATTGAATACTTATTAATTAAAAAACAAACCTTTTATAAGTACATTTTCTGGTAGCAGAAACCTTGTCTTTAACACGATGCGGTAATAAAATATGTCAACCTTTTGTTAAAATGGATATTAAGATATTTTATGTCCAAATGTTTTTTTTAATAACATTATACATATATAAGAAACCTTGTGTGGATGTTTGTACTACTTGTGGCAAAAACCAATGAACTCATTATTATAAAGATTGTCATAGCTGTAGCATAACATGAGAGTGACATATAGAATGTTATTTATTCAAAATTCTGTGTAGTTTTCTAAGAAAAACAGCATGAAAAATGTGTTTTTATACGCTTTAGATAGTTACCACGCTTTTGATCCATACCTGTAAGGTAAATGTGTACCTAACACTGTTACCACATTTACCTTATGTCTTATACCACAGTTATCTTAGGTATATACATTATGATTTCTCTTAAAACACAATGCTGAAAAAAAAAAAGTCGAAAACGAAGTCGTGAGCATAAACTCGTTTAAGTAATAAAATTAGGAACGAGGGTTTATGTGAAAAATAAGGACTTCTCAGAAATATCGTATAACATTTTTAACATCATTTCTTTTAAGCGTAATTTAAGGTCAAATGAATGATCTAAATTTCGTATACAGACAAATAGAAAACAAAAGGTTATATAAAAATGATTGACAAAAAAACGTCACGCTTATTAAATTTGACCCAAATAAAAACGTTATGTTAAAATCACTAAACTTCTTATATGTAAAAATGCTACTTAAATCTGTCAGGCACTTGGCGATAAACATTAAAAAATATTTAAATACCAATATAGCTAAGGGCAATTGAGTATTAAATAAGTCTTTTTCATTAGGTAATGTTAGTAATATATTTTGATCATAAACAATTTATAGCCGTTAATAATTCAATATGAACGTATCTTCTATCTTCATGTAAAAGTCACATTAAAGACCAAGCATTGGAAATTAATTTCAGTCACGCAATGACTACATCACTCTCTTGGTATTTTTCAACATATAACATGTTAAAGAGACATAAGATTTAATAATTAAATGTCTGTCATAGCTTATAAATTGCCACTTTTGCTTGCGCTTTTGTCATTTCAAACTAGGCATTGGGTTCAGCATGAAGCCAGTTACACATTTATTAAAAAATTAACCCATCTGGCGTATTTTTGTTTCAACTATAGGAAATCTCAATATATATTAAATCCCATCAACCAAATTCAAGTAGTAGAATACTACTAATACATTCATATATCCAAACAGACATAGGAGTGTTTTAAATTCCTGTTATAAAAAGAGTTATAGTATAAAACAATCGAAAACTAATACCACAGTAATTGAAGAGGTTACTTAAGAAAAAAATGAACTTCGATTCATACAAATTAAGCGTTAAGATAAAAGACAGCATTATGCAGACAATGAACAACAAACAAGGCAATAAATCTCGTTCATTACAAGGCGTTGTGAGCGTAGGATGGAAATAAAATGCACTAATTAAGATGCAAATGACAATGAGGTATTCGCATCCTATCATACAAACGACACCAGGATATAAACATTTTAATTTACATAAGCCGGTAAAATGTCTTTATATGTACTTTATTATAATTATATGTATGATCTTATGTTACTCTTAATCTATTTCTCTTCTAAGTAAGATTTGTATAAACTCAAATATAATAATAGTTAACAGTTAAACAGCAGATATGTGGTGGTACATTGTACATCAGGATGTTTCCGCTTATTTAACTCTTCATATAGAAAGCTGTTTCCCCGACATATCTTTGGCTTACACGCCATATATAGCTCTACCACGAGCTCTCAGTTGCTCACAAAATAAGTAATATATATAAATATAGATATGTTTGCTAAGCAAAATTCTGCAAGGTATTTCAAATCTCACTGACTGCACAGTAGCTCATTAGTGAAACCAAATAAAAACAAAACCACATTGCGATATGTGACAAGGCCGCTGATTTATTTTAAAACCATAATGCTAAGTCTAAACTTCAAATAAATAAAGCGGTTTTCACTAAGTATTGAATTTTGCAAATGAACCTGACCCGCTTACGACATGAGTGCCATTATATAATAGCATAGACAAATCAATTGACATGTGTTGTTGTCGAAATGTTTTGTTTTGTTTCGTTTATGTTCCAAGTAAAAATGCAACGATTTTTCAGACTAATTCAAATTAGATCACCATTGTCATTTTAACCATTTTAACTTTCTTGACCAAACTTTTACTGATATGATTAATAGTCAGCATAAAATACGTATGTATTTTGGATGAGAGTTTTTTAAATAATTTCACAGCAATATTTTCCTGCCACGTCCGTGACAGAGTAATGGCTGCATTAACAACATCTGGGAATGCGTTGTATCACCAACATTACAACATGTTCTTGCAAGTGTCGCGATGATTTCATATGATTGATTGGAAATTAAAAAGGCCTTTAATACTTTTCAATTTGATTTTAAAATATGTGTCTGGGTGCAGTCATCTGTTAAAGCCATATTGAGGTTGAAGCGATAACTATTTTCTCTTATTATTAATGAATCAATATATTGAAATAATTATCTTCTGAACATTTTCGGCTCTTAAAGTCAATCACATAGTCACCAAGTCCAGGCAACCTTTAGTTTAGTCCAAGCAACCTTTAAATTCAGACAAACGCCTGTCAATTTAGCTCTGTTAAATTTAAACAATGGGATATATGTCTACCTGTTGAGTTTGGCAGTAACTGACCATTAGGACGTACATAGAAATAAATATAAAGCCATAAAATATTACGTAAAGAAACTTATATTCAAGAAGTTTTTAGCTCACATCTAGGTTGTGTAAATTTTCCTTATCTTGCTGTAACTGATAATAATAGAATGACGTTGTTATAGTATTGGTTGCTTTTGCGTGAGTTTAAAGGTTTTAAACTATTAGAATAGATCTTTAAATAATGTACAAAATAAGAGGCTCGTATTATATGTATGAAAAAGAATACATAATGTATCAAAATTAGAGAATGCTTTCGGTCTTCACTAACTATTATATAGGTACAAATACTTGTTCTTATGACATGCCATGTAAGATATATTGTACTATTTCTGACTTTCTCACTTCCTTTGTTACAACAAATATAAACAAAAGTTCAGTTAGATCCGTCTTTGTTGAACAAAGGAACTGACAAATTCAATTAATTTACCATCAAATGTTGTCTCATGAACGTATTGGACATAATACGACAGTTGTATTGTGTACATAACTCGATCTAATACTAATTGTCATTCAAGTAACTTGATATATTTATGCAACTTTTACTTATAATTAAGATAAATTTATATAATAATGAGTAATCTTGTAATGGAAGTCGTTGAATGTGTATTCAGAATGAAGAATGAATACATGATGCTAAGGACATAGCTGTCATTTACATTGCAAGATACTTATTAGGAGAAAAATCAGCTTCCTACTAACTATAAAACATAAGGAAACTGCGTTTTTTACGAAATATATAACACCTTATCAGAACATCTCATGTTAACGAAACTATCATTCGTTTGTCAGTTGGAAATAATTTTAAATATAACAAAATTAAATTACCTTGAATGCTATAAATATTTAAATTCTTAAAAAAAACACTGTCGTTTAATATTTAATATCTGGCCTTGACCTCTCGACCTCTGTCCAACGAGAAGTTATCTTGTTCTGAATCTCCGCTGATGCTTTTATTTAGACGTTTGTGAGATAGAAATATACACATCTTGTATTTGAAAAGACTAACATTCATTGAGATTTTTAAAGAATTATATATTTAATATCCCGCGATATTATCATTTCTTATCATTCTTAACTATCTCTCTCATTTATATTTTGTAAAGAAATATTTTAAACTACGGTACTTTACTAATTTAAGGACATAATGTAGTCCAAGTAATTGGTAAAGAATATAATACTTATAGTGTTTGTAGTTTTATTAAATATGATTTCATTCTGAAAAACGAACGGATCAAAATATTAAGGAATTCTGAAAAACATTAAGAAAGTATAAGAATATATGTATGGAATTTGCAACTAATATGTCGTTTTTTCAATCCTGACAATTCAACAATGCTTTTATTTCGAAAGTTTACGGACAAATAACTTTTAAACTCTCTCTATTTCGGAAGATTATAATATTTAAAATATATTTTATAGTTTATTTCTCTAGTTCAGTAATGTTAGTTATGTTGTCACTAAGACAGGAGGTCACAAAATCCTTAATGATCCTTAGAATTACAATATAACGCTTCATCTGACACTAATAATACGTATGAGAGACATCCTTGAACATACTTCATATTATGTTTTTATAAAGATTCTAAATTGCTTATTTAAGCATGTCCCATATAATGTTGATTATAATGAAAATGATGTTTTATAAAACATATTTAATTTTGAGTTTATGCCAGCTAGAAAGTTGTATATATCTTTATATGTATTGTGTATGTCGACGGTCAAGTGGACCCGTTGGCATTAAAAATACAGGCCCCAGAGGTCCGGCTCGCGTTTACATAATTAATTGAATCTCATCTCTATAAATGTACGAAATATACGATCGACGACTTACGATAAGTAAGTGTTTTTTATATTTAAAAGTTTATAAACTAAAATATGTAATAATCTTCTTCCATATATTTTACTTCTTCCTAAGAATATTTTAATTGTGCCGAAAATAACAAAATAATACCAATTTCGAATGATTACAGAGAATTAAAATGAATAGCGAACGGAGAAGAATTTACCATTTTAGGAAACATCCTGTTTAAAAAGCCGAATTCATCACGAGAAAGGAATTTTTATTGCAACATTATTTCATATATTTCATATTATTATTTGATTTTTATAATAATATTTAACCAGTTAGTTAGTTTATTATTTTGAAACTATTTTTTGCTTCACAAGGATTCACAGATGTTTAACCTTTGGCATAATTCGAGACGATGTTATGTCAACATTAATTCATTCACACGAAAATCGACAATATTTCATTGTATTAAGAACGAGAGTCGCGTGTGTATATTTGTGATTTACTGACATTGAATGGGCGTTGACATTGAAATCTATGAATTTATGCATTTTAATAAGCTATTTTTGTGTTCGCTGTTAAGAGCTGTTAAGTTTAATTGCATAGTGTTTGATTAAAAAGCGCGGAAATCCTGGTTTGGATTTACGAAATACTGTGGGATTTTATCTTACGGACTATAAATTTTACGAATAGTCTATTATTGAAGTTTTCCGAGTTATGTTACAGTCTTAAATATAAATGTTGATGCCATTAGTTCAAGTAATAATAAAACGAACAATCTCGTGACTTCGTCCAGAAAAAAAATTGTTCCTAAATTTCTAAAATAGAAATACGCTATATCACTCTCTATAACAATAGCTATATACCAGTGAAAATCACATGAAAATCGGTCCATCTGTTTCAGAGATAAGAGTGAACATACACAGCTATCTTAACATCACAAACCAATGCTCCAAATTGTTTATTTATATAGATTACACATTTCGTATAGTTATTTTATTTATAAAGAAATGTTTTAACAAATGTTTCGTAACGTGGGACGCCCTGTCCAAGGCTCATTAGCTTATTGGGTAATAGATAAACATTAAATCCGTATACTAATAAGACATCATGATTAAGCGATTGTCCGTACCTTAATTATTAATTGAATTATATGACTTATGTTAAGGGGAAGTTGATTACTGTGATCATCATTTATCAATTATTATAAGAAGGCTTTTATATTTGTTTTGAATATATTTAATAATATTTTCTACCTAATGATGTTAAAATAAAAATATTTTAATATCTTCATCGAGATTTAATGGTTTAATTGTATTTTTTTCATTAAAGATTAGTTGACATTTCTCTTTTCTGCTCTCTAAGAGTCAAGGTTAACGTGGTTAGTGTCGCAATGTTAATCGTAAGGGCCTTGCGTAAACTTGGAAGCTTGACCTCTAATTATTATGCCGTGTCATATATGGAAGGGCTCAATCTATACTGGTCAGTGTTATAAGGAATTTACAGAAGTAACAAGCAAAAAGTTTATGCATACATTTTTGGTTAATGAGTTTGTGTTGCGAAATAAAAATAACTATATCCTTTAAAACTGTTATTTATAAAAATATTAAGATTCTCGTATAATATACTTCATGTAAAAAACATCAACGAGATCCTTGTATAAACATTTTTTATAGTATGAAAGAATAAAGTTTAAATAATATGATAATTTCGATGATATTTATATAATAATACGTTCCTTTATACAATGATAGCTCGTTGTAATTACTTCTGTTGAACAATAGATCACAATTTTGTTAGACTCAGTCATTACTTGGTACGATCATTAGCACCTTTAACATATAATTTTAAAATAAACACACAATCATCATCCACATATATATAAAACTTATTTTGTATTAAAATGAGGTTACATATGAATAATATATATACATACAGCCTCCTCTAATGCCTGTTGTGTGATTTAAATGCACTATAAATTGCAGCCTTCGCATTCCATGTGATATGAAACTTATTTTAAATGATTGTACGGAATTCTTTAATGAATCTTTTGTATGTAATCATAATATATTAGGCTCATATATACCTCTAAAGCAACATCATATATACCTCTAAAAAAACAGCTGACTGTTGGAGGCAAACAAAAATGATAATTATAAATAGCTACTTATAATTATTATTTTTGTTTAGCGCTGTCTCCATACATAGTAAGTTTGACAGAGTTATATTTATATAATTCATCTCGTTAATTCAAGGTGTAATTTTGTATATAATATTAGATTTGGAGATTTCTTTATGGATATATTATTACTTTAGAAGAAGCGTCATACATTTTTATCGAAATAGAATTAAGGGGTATTGGGAAAAAAAATAATGGTAGGTATCTTTAGTTTATAATAAAAATTGTTAAGTTATAAAAATAAACTTGTTTTAACTACTATCTTAGCAACTTGGAGCACTTAATCGAGTTAACATGATCCAAAAGTGCATATTAATTTTTGAAAAAGTGCACTGCTTAATCAATCTTGACTAAAAATAGCTGAGAAATATCGCAAAAAAGGCTTTCAAAGAAAAAAATAATATTTACAACAGTCGATCCCGTTTAGAGATACAATGAAACAGACAGACACACACCCATACAGAAGCGTCAAACTTATAGGACTCCTCTTTTTGCGTTAGTTAATATAAAAAACAATCTTTTAAAACTATAAGCATTGAATTATAATAAAAATACTATGCTTATACTTTTGTTCCTGTTATAACAATACATCACAATTTTTAAAAAAACTTGCTTGTTGCTAAAATACTTGGAATAAGTTCACTACTATGAAAACACTTATGAAGACAAAAATAAACATTAACGCTTTCTAATCTAAAGGACATTTTTCTGTCTTATATTAAAATATTTCATAAAAGTTTTAAATTGCTTATAAACTTAAGATATTTCAACAAACAAATGATTTAAAGGAAATTACAATTTCATTATCCTTAGATGAAGTATTTATGATTGAACTATACTGACAGTTCGACGTTTTTCATTCATAAACCTATTGATACTATAATGTCCAAAAAAAATTGATGGAGAACTTGAAGTTTTCCATTGAATTTCGAAGTTGCTAACAAGTATGGATACAGATGTCATTACTTTGTATGGGTCCATTAATAACAGTAAACAATACTACAGCCATTGCAACATATTGTTCATTATAAATGAACTTTCTGACCGATCGTCCGATCCATAGATAATATTGAATGAATTGAATCTTCGTTATTGTTTCGCAAACAAACAAAACTCTATTCAATTGAAAAATATTCCAATCAAGAATTATTGAAATCTATCTTATAGCATTATATAGTGTTTCTTTGTACGGAGCTGATTTTTTTAATAATTATTGTTATTTTGTTAACATTTAACCATCTACTAATGGTTTAATTAGGAGAAATGTTCCTACTTTACATATTATATAACATATTTTGTACAACAAATATCTTACTGGTCCTATTTTCAAAATTTATTTCTGTCGATTATGATGGCTCAATTACAAAGTCATATTGACCCCGCTGCTGACACGTAATTAACTCAATAAATATTACCCATAACTTTTTGTATTTTAATGAAGCATTTGATAACCAATTATATTAAGTTGTAACTTTTGATTTTAAGTTTTACAACAACCACCATTATTATTTATTTGACAAAACAAAACACATGTTTATAAATACCACGTTTTTCTCCATTTCCATAATTTACTTATTCTTGACAAATCTTATACAAAGTAACGGAACAAAAATGGTATTAAAATCCCTACTAATATTATAAATGCGAAAGTAACTGTCTGTCTGTCTGTTACGCTTTCATGCCTAAACCACTGAACTGATTTTAATGAAATTTGGTACAGAGATAGAGTTAACCTTGAGAAAGAATATAGGATCATTTTTATCCCAGACTTTTGAAAGGTTCTCTTGGAAACGCGATATACCCGAACTCCACGCTTGCGAAGCTGCGGGCGGAAAGCTAGTATATATAAATTAACAGTTTAATTTTACTTTAAGACGTTAATAATGTTAGTAATACCCTTAACCTTACTTGTATTTAAAATTAAGCAAATGAATTGAACATCACATTGGGTAATATGAGTTACAAATTTTTCCGATTGAAAGGTTGTCGGCAAAACATTTACGTGTTTCATCATTAT